GAGTGGAACTCCTTTCAGACGATTAGCTTATTCTTTTCGAATTGGAAAATCCACTATTGCTACAATTGTCGGGGTGAAGCTTTATGGGAATGTTTGCAAAAAATCCATATACCTACTCCATCTTCAGACTTGTTTAAAAAAATTGCACAAGAGTTTTATAGAAAATGGGGTTTTCCACACTGTATTGGAAGCATTGATGGGAAACACATCCGTATAAAATGCCCGGCGAATTCCGGCAGTATGTACTATAATTACAAACATTTTTTTTCTATTAACCTACTGGCTGTAACTGATGCTAATTATAAATTTATAACCGTCGATATTGGATCTTACGGAAAAGACAGTGACGGTGGAGTGCTGTCGAATTCAAAATTTCTAAAATGTATAGAAAATAATTCACTAATTATACCAAAAGAAGAGGAATTGCCAAACAGTAACATTATTGTACCGTATGTTTTTATTGGGGATGAGGCATTTCCTTTACGGAATTATCTTATGAGACCATTCCCTAGAAATCAACTTCAAGATCAAGAAAAAGCAGTTTTCAATTATAACTTATCTAGAGCCAGAATGACGGTAGAATGTTCTTTCGGTATTGCAGCAGCCAAATTGAGAATATTAAATAAACCAATTGAGACAAGTGTTGATAAAGCTACTAAAATTGTTCAGGCTATTGCAGTCCTTCATAATATAATTATAGACTTTGAAGATGTACCAAAAGAATTTAATGGTTTCGTAGACACAGATGGTATACGAAAGTAGAAAAAATTTTAATATTGGAACTTCAAGAAAAAATAACCGTGCATCTCATTCAGCGATTGAAGTGCGAAATAAATTTTGTAAATATTTTATGGACCATAAGAATTAAATTATGTATATTTATATATTTACAATGATGTATGTTTTATAACTAGTAATAGATTGTTATATGCTATTTAATAATCAATGGCATTACTAAAAGCAATATAAAAATATTCAAGTCAACATCAACTGTACAGTAGAGCGGTTTATTGGTTTATACTATTAAATTGTTAATACTATTTTATACTATTATTATTTTTTTTAATAAAATTAATTAAAATAAAGAATTTGAACAGGAATGAAAATATATTTAATATAAATACACGTTCACTTTATGTACAGAATTTGAAAAATAATATAAGGTATATTATACAATAATATAACATAAATGTTACAAGAAATAATAAATAATAATTAATAAAAGAGTTTACATGGCATTTCAACTTTGGAGGCCACAATTTCCCACGCTCTATCTACTAAAAGTCGATTACGATGATTCTTGTCTTTCATGTTGTACAATATAGGCTTTTTTTGAACTTCTAACATCAAAATTTCTACTTGAGAATCCATATTTATTACTATAAATTTAAATTATTTAACAAATAACAACAATGTACATACAACTGTAGTCTACACTCTAGAAATCAGAAAATAGTGCCAGTCGCTCGCGTCAGAAACAAATTAATTTGTTTCAACGCGAGCGATAATATTATTATCGCTCGCCCGCCCGCCCGTTTACAATATAAATAGGACATTCCATATAATAATTCTATTTTGAATTTTATCGCGTCGCCCGCTCGCCCGCAAAATCGCGTTCACCTAGGACGCACCGTAATGAGTGGGCGGCTTAAGTAGGTGTTTAAATAGTAGTGGACATATTCATAAAAAGGTCAACCATCGGCAAAACCACGTGGATCCTTCGACGGGGGTCACACTCAAAGCTTAGAGATCATGACTGGGTGCAAAGACAAAGATCATAAAAACAATGAGAGGTACAACTAAAAATTTACTTCAATCCTATCTCAACCATTATTGTTGGAAGGTTGCTTGCAAACCAGTCTTAGACCTTTAGACCAGTCGCATGAAAAAATCACACACATATCAGTTTACCATATTCTTGAATGTTTTACAGCCGCATACAAAAATACAAGAACGTATTTAAAAATAATGTTATTAACAATATTCAGTGATTCTTAACACCTCTACCTTTAAATGTAATACGGCGTCTTGATAGTCTCAATTTTGCACTACATGAACTTAATTAAATTAATTTCGATCAATTATTTCCGAAAGCTGTTTCTGAAATATCTGGCTTGTACATTTTTGTATTGTTCTTTTAACTTTAATACAATGCACATATCTAAAAAAATAAGACTAATAATAGATATGTATAATATTACTATTAGTACACTGTACATCTATAGTAAGGCCTGCGAAACTAGACGAGTGATTTTAGCGCCCCCAGTGGCGTTTCTTCAGTATTGCGCCATATTATACACTATTTAGTTCTACCGAAAAACGCCACTGGGGGCGCTAAAATCACCCGTCTAGTTTCGCTGGCCTTACTATAGCTATCATCATTGGTCTAATATTAGTGAATATGCGTCTCCACAGTCCACTTTAGTATGGCCAATGAAAAATAAGCCGCGATACCAATGTTCCGGGTGGCCGAATTTCATCAGGGCTTCCACAATTATTTGCGATTACCCTTAAATATACCACTAGGAACTTATCAGTCGAGGCTCACTTTTCGCTGTCCGTGCTATAGATATCTAGTTGAGTTTCCTGAAATAAACACATATTCGTTACTGGATTGCACCGTCTCGATCTGGTTTCTTAGGGGCCACTAACAAGGGCACATTCCAAGGGCTCTTACTATTTATTATTATTCCATATTCTTCAAATTTTTCTACTTGTCTGTTTATTTCTTATTTGTGTTTGATAGCCAGGTTGTAAGGGCGCACATTTATTGGCTGGGTTGCCGTGAATATATTTATGTCATGATAAATCGATTCCGTATTCGTTATTTTATCCCCTTCTAAACTAAAGATATCCACATATTGATCGCAGATGGCGATGAGGGATTAATGTTCCTCAGAGTTTAATTGATCGGTTAACAGGACCTTTTTCATAGTAGTTATTCTACTACTTTTGTGTGAAGTTTCTGCTTGATAGGTTATCACATGCACCATGTGTTAAATTTTTCTATACTGAATTCATTTATGTGAGAAGGTGTTAATGTAAATGTTTCTTTGAGATTTATGACAATCATGAGAACACGCCCATCTCTTCAACAATGTTTTTGCAAAAATTACTTAAAATAAAAACATTCCAATTTTAATAAAACCTGTCTTAAAAAAATATCATTCCTTTCTATACATATTAATACTGGTTGTATACTATTGTATATTTTTAAACTGTCAATAGCTTTTGCCATCCACCGTGCATAGGGTATGGCTCCAGGCACTTTAAGTGAGAGTCCTCGTGGTGGTACTCTCCCAAGAAAAATTATGGTCAACTTTAACAGTTCCCTATAATCTTCCCTAGAGAGCTTATTGTTTAAATAACTAATATGAAACTATTATTTCTGTGCTAACATTATTTAATAATTTTTAAGGTACTAATTTTTGATACCAGGTTTGAAGTTTGTTGTATTTACATTTGACCAACATTTTTTAAATCAGACTCTAGGTCTGATGTAGTTGTACCAAATTTCACATCAAATACATTTCTTAATACAATTTCATAAATATGATACAGACACTGTACGTTTAAAATATTACACTGTAATAATTGTTCCAATAAAACAGAAGCACCTATTATACGGCCCATATTGAAGGCTATCACGGGATAATCCTTGAATATTATCTGTAATACACCAATCTTCGAGTATTTGAAATATGAAATATTTTTAATACTCCTGTTCCGGTATCAAGAACTGGAACTACAAGTAATAGACAAAATCCAGACATCTCATGGGACCCTTAGTGTCGAAGAAGTTGCGCCCCACAGTGGTCCACAATTTAAAATTAGGCGATCTTTATTGCTCGATTTCAAAATGAGAATAATAAAATTGAATTTTTTTATATATAGCATGTCTATATCCTGTAAAGTCCAGATATTTAACTGAAATTGTGTAAATATTTATGTAGTACCACGTGGAAAGATTAACAAATAATTGTCAGTGTCCAATGCGCATGAATTAAAAGCATCTGCATTTATTTCACACCCACGTGAAATTGCTGTTAATATATTTTTGAAACGCTTGACTAAATTTAAATTAATACCCGTTATTTCACTACTTAAATCTGGATTAGAGAAAAATCTTCTTGCAGTATTACCATCGTTTGTGTTCCCTTTTCCTGTAATTAAAATTACAATTTTTCATTACAATTTTTAAAATCAATACATTTTAGTAATACTTTTATTTACCTTGCAAAACAACATCTACTAATAAACCTAATTCTGATCAAAATCTGTCTTGAACATACTTTGTTTTTTGTTAAATAGGAGTTTATATGCTGCTAACCTTACCTATAGGTAAATACAATTTTAAATGTATTTTGATTACATATTATTATGATTTGTTGTATTTCTACTAAACTTACAGCCTATTTTTTTTATTTCTAACCGATACTAAATATACAACAAGCATGCAAAAAATCTTATCCATGCAATGAGTGTGGACAATCCAGATCTTAATGACTCTTGGTTGACATTGAATTAAATTACATTTTCAATATTGTTCATTTCTTTGGGAGAAGATCCGCAAACGAAGCATTTTTGACTTAACGTATTAGTCATAGAATTACAGACCTATATTACAATTTAAATGTCAGCAGAGATATTTGTACCAAATTTAGTTAAAATTATTTTAACTTTCCGGCAACCATAGTAAACATCAATGTGTGTGTTACTGGTAATCGGACATTCGGACATTCGGATCCCATTAAACAAAATGACTGTAGGATTTAACTGTTTTATTTGATCCTCAACTGCATTTACTCTTTTTAAAGTAGGTCCTATCGTTTCCTTTTCAAACTTAAATTTTATTGGACGGCAAAATCGAGTTGATGAAGTTTGATTATTTGTCCAAATAATATTTTTATTATTTTGTCGATCAAAACTATTCTGCTGAACAGGAACAATCGAAAAAAAGGAATAGATCTTTATCTGAGCACGAAATATCATTGTCAATATATTTTTGTTTGTACTGTGATTGTCCATCACAGCCATCACATTCCCATTTGTATAAAATTTCGAAACGTTCTAAAAAAGGTTCATTTATTTGTATGGCAGGAATTAAAAATATCCGTTTAGAAGTATGATTAAGTGGACCCTGCAGCTTAAGAGGACGCCACACCCGCATGCGTTGTCTCCGTCTTACAAACGAGTAACATACCAAATTTACGCTCAGCAGTTCAAGTTTTATGCCGTTAGCTTAAAAATTAGAGTGAATTAACCTATTATGAAACTTGATGGTAAGAACTTTATCCGTGTTTTGTTGGAAGCTTTTTTTACGATACTTCAGTTTTTAAGCGAGGTATGCTTGTATAATAAATGTAAATTAAAAATTCTCATAACTCACTTAAAAACTGAATTATTGTAAAAAAACTTCCAACAAAACACAGATAAAGTTCTCACCATCAAGTTTCATAATAGGTTAATTCACTCTAATTTCTAAGCTAACGGCATACAACTTGAACTGCTGAGCGTAAATTTGGTATGTTACTCGTTTGTAAGACGGAGACAACGCATGCGGGTGTGGCGTCCTCTTAATCTCATAGAAATGTTCAGACTTAATACAGTTTTCGGGATAACATTGTTTCTTTGCTGCAATAATTTCATTATATGGAGGAAAAATGTCTGCATTTCGTACTTTTGCGGACAATCTAATATTAGCATATTGTTGTTTTTTAAAATTATTTTCAATAAAAAAAGGTTAGCTTCGTCTGCACTATACGGTACAGGTTTTAAAGTTTCAGCATTTTTAAGTATTTTTTTAGTTTTATTGGCACGGTCTGGTGTTTCTACAGCCTTATTAAACATTTGGACTACACTTCTTTGGCCAGATTTTTTTATTTTATGTTTAGCGGCACTATTAATTTCTGGAGAGGATAACCCGATGTTAGAATTCAATAATAAATTTACTTTACGCCTCTTCGTCCGTTCTGTACATTTGTCCAGTGGCACCGAACAATATGTTTAGATGGGCGGTGGGTAAATTCATCGACTTCGCAGTAGAATATATGCATCCCGAGGCCAAATTATTTTATTTTATTTTGAACCCTTCTGGTCGCTACTCATTACAACCTCAGACCTATCCTAGGGTTTAACAGTATATTTTTTTCAAAAGGTTTATTCAATTTAAAAATGACATAAGTTAATTTTTATTTATTTTATTAAACAGTTTAATTACAATTTTTTCTGGCCTGTTGGTTGGAAAATTCGTCAATTATGTCATCATATTGGAGTTAATTTGTCATCTTTGATTTTATATTGTGCATCGCTAAGGAGTTTAACCGTTCCATTCCATATGTAAACCGTAGATAATTTTTGACTCTTTTAAAAGTAGAAAATGATATCTCTGCTGAACAATCGCTAGATGGAGTACATAATTTATATTTATTGTACCTGTAATTCTGCTGTATTTTTAGGCCATCGCCATTTGTATATGTTAATTATCTTATATTACTGAATTATTGTTGTGTGCTGTACTAAATAAGGAATTTTTATTCCATAAATAAATTAATAAATAAATAAACAATAGCATCCTAGGAGCTATGTCTACATATGGATACAGTTCAATCAGGTTATTTACATTTATAAAAGTCAACAAATCCTGAGCTGTACCTGGGACCATATTCTTAATTTATTTTATACTTAGCATGAAGCTTGTGCCCTGAAGTGAACACATTCATTTGAAAAATTTTTCCCAAGATCTTCCTTGTAGATTTGCTGTAGAACTGCAACCTTCTGATGGGTTTGTGCACAAACGAAAAACGTCTGCTGATGTTTGTTGGTTATCGATAATATTTGCCTCAGTGTTTATAGATAAAACTGGCAGCAAAAAGTTAATCTGGTTATCTTAGAAAGTAAAAATGTACTTCATAAAAATAAACAATGTTATGATATAGATACACTTAATCAATATGAAAACATGTAGCATGAATATGTAAGCAAGAGTAATATGGTATTTTGTATTTCAACTTACTGGGTATGTTTTAAAAAATAATTAAATAGCACCAACACAGCAGCACGCGAATGAGCAGGTACCATATAAACCATAAAAAATGAATATAATTTACACATTACAAGGGCCACACCACAGATTAAATAAAAACATATCTTGAAGTTTGAACTCTTAGGCTAGGTTCACACGAGAGGCGTTAAACGCGCGTTTTTTGTCAGTGTTCACATGAATTACAGATTTTACGCGTTAAGTGCGCGTATAGTATAGTTGTATATAGTATATAGTATATAGTACATAGTTATACTATATAACTATAGTCAGTCGTGTTTTTCATTCCGTCGAAGATGGACGTAGCAGAAGCTGTATGTTTATGGACCTTACATAGACGAATGCAGCGTCGTAGGCAGAGAAATAGGAAATACTGGGTTCATCCTATTTTAAAAAACAGACTAAGTACAAGCTTGTACATCACGCTGTATCCAAGTTTGATAAATCATGAACTAAAATTTTTTAACTATTTCCGGATGTCGATTAAATCTTTTGATGACTTGTTGGAGCAAATCAAACAAGAAATTGTGGCTGACGAAAATGCAATTAGATATTGTATTTCACCAGAAGAAAAGCTCATAATTACTTTGAGGTATGTTAATTTATTTATTTTAATAACAAGAACATAACATTACAGCATAATATAAGATAACAAGTGTAACATTTTTACTAACGAATATTTATTATATTTATTTATTATATCTTAATACATAATATTTTAAAGAACCCTTTGCATACATTATATAATACAATTATTGATAAGTAAATTTTAGTCAAATAAATCAAGTATAGACTGTGCACTGTCTGTTTCACTAACATTTGTTGGCGTTGGTGATGGTGCAGGTGCAGAAGTATTTAGTTGATTACTTTTATCAGCAAAATTGTGATCATAATGATACCCTTGTGTTGTGGTGTTGTGTGGCGTAGAATTATAACCATAATTTGGATATCCAAAGTTACTTGGCCGATATTGTTGTCTATACATAGCATGTTGATATCCATCAGATGATGATGTCTGATTTTGTAAAATTAAATTGTACATATCAATTTTAAGTTTGAGACGTTTGTCTTTAGGAACTTTTTTAATTTCTTTTACTAGTGATAAACAAAATAGTTTATCTTCATCATCCTCATCTTTTTTTTAGGGAACATATCGTTGAGCCATACTTTTTTCCAATATGTTTGCGAAATGTTCATCTGCTGGATGTAATTTTATTTTTTTTTTGTTTTTACGACAATCTTCTTTAGGACTTTTAAAATTGTTATCTACATCATTTACGTTGTTAGAATTTTTAGTTATTTTTACATTTTCATCATCAGTTGAAAAACTGCTTTCGGTTACGTTATTTTCTACTGACCCTTGCAGAAACCGTAATCTTTCAAAATGTAAGTAAGTAGATTTGTTCGATCTTCCTGAACCTGATTACACCATTTTACATTTTTTGGCTTATCTTACATAATTGTCTCGTAAGCTTTTCCACTTTTTTTGTAAAGTTAATCCTAAATAAAATAATATAGTTATAATTATATAATTAGGCATAAGTTTTGAAGAAAAAAATTAAAAATGGTGAGGAAGGAACTAAACTGCATTTGTTCCTAATTATATTATAATTAAAAAATAGGTTATAAAAATATAAAAAATAATATGGTTTTTATAGATACCTAGCAAGTGGATATTCCATTAGTGAATTACATTATGAGTATTTGATGGGGAAAAGTACTGCTGCTGCTATAATCCGCCAAGTATGTAAAGTCATTTGGAGAAAATTAAAAAATATTGTGATGTCTCAACCCACAAAGGAAAAATGGCTAGAAATTTCCAAAGGATTTAAACAAAATGCCAAGTTCCCTAATTGCATTGGGGCACTTGATGGCAAACATATACGTTTGATACACCCTCAAAATTCAGGGTCACTTTATTATAACTATAAACATTTTTTTTCGCTAGTATTAATGGCATTGTGTGACTCTAATTATTGTTTTATTTGGGTGGATATTGGGGCATACGGAAAGAATAGCGATTCTGGGATTTTTAAAGAATCATCTTTGTATACTAAGCTCATTGAAAAAACTTTGAATATTCCTGAACCAAGACCTATTATAGACAACGATGAAATCAAATTGCCATACGTCATAGTTGCTGATGAAGCGTTTAGTATGCTAGAAAACTTGATGAGACCATTTGGTGGAAATTTATTATCGCACGAAAAAAAAATTTATAATTACCGGCATACTTTAGCACTACGATATATAGAATGTACCTTTGGCATTATGAGCAATAAATGGCGTATATTGCATAGACCATTAGATGTGAATATTGAGTTTGCACAAGATATTGTTAAAGCTATTTGCGTACTTCACAACTACGTCAGAATAAGAGATGGAAATAGTTATGAAGAAACGTTATTTACAGCACCCCTATCAAATTTAACAAGTTCTACTACTGGACGTGCTATACGAGTAGCAGAAAATGTTAAGAGTTAAATTTATGAATTATTTTAATAACGAAGGAAGTATAGAATGGCAAAACCGCATGATATAAATTGTAAAAATGTAGTATTAAAAAATAATGTAATATTTTTAGTTTTTATTGTAAAATATTAATAAGAACATAATATTATAATGTACATTATATTGTATTCATTATTAAAATATGCATTTGTTTATGAGTTAAAGTAATAAAGTAATAAAAAATAAGTAATTAAAATAAAGTAATACATACCAAGAACTTTCTTTTTTTCCTCTGTACAACCTTCTTCAGAAAAAATGAGTACTATTTCTTGCCAGGCATTTCTTTTTATTATTTTATTTGAATAATCTCGACTGGTCATGTCCCAGATCGAGGGCCTTTTTTCGATTTCATCGATGAAAAATTCAGTATTGAATTCTTCCATTGTACGAGTAGACGAAAAACGACGTAACGCCTTGAAAAACGCGTTGCAACTGAACACGTCAATGCAAACCTGTACAATGTTCAAACGCGCATCAACTTGGGATGACGCGAGTTGACAGGTTTTTTACGTTATCGCTGCGTTGAACGCGCATCGCCATCCAACGCGCGTTACCATGAGTACAGTTAACAGCTATTAATAGTAATTGTAAACGCTCGTTTGGTTAACGCGCGTTTAACGCCTCTCATGTGAACCTAGCCTTAACGGCTTCATCTCGTTTCGTAATAATTCGTTTTATACGTGATCAGTCGCATTCATATCACAATATCACATTCAACTCAAAATGATTTACGATAGTCCGTTATCACAACATCATTGATAATTAAAAAAATGTTATATCATTATACGCGTTAATCAGTGTTGTATATTTTGAGAATTAAAAAAAAATATAAACTCAACACAATTGTTTCATTTCGTGGCATTTGGAATTTTGCATTAAGCCACTCAGAATAATTTTTTTAAATTTAGTAGTATTTCGATACTATTTACTAAATTTTTTCGATAACGCAACAGAAATTCTTTTTTTCGAAGAATAAAATGAAGAATATTTTTTTGATTTTGTTCAGTTACATGTTTTCTCCGATCTAGTGATCTAAATTGAGACCTTTTTTATGTTTGGACTGTGACCGATGTTTTTTTACAGATGATTGCATATTTCTATTATCAAATTTATGTTGATCTTTAGATTCAGATCACGACCTACTTCCTATTTCGCACTGTATCGGAATATGAGAACTAGGAGGAGACCAGGTAACATTTATTAATTGTCTTTGAATACGAGAATTAGGAGAAGATCTGATTTAATTTCTACAATGTGACCGAAATACTGTTTCAGACGAATAAGTTCTTAACTCTAGTGTCTGGTCGTAACTTGTTTTCAAACGATGCTATATATTCTTATGAACAAGATTTTGACCAATATTGTGGTTTTTTGTAGAACATTTTTTTGACTCAACCATAAACTGTCCATCAGATGACCTCGAATGCTATTCATAATGAACAGTATTTTCTAAAAAATTTAAAACTTATACATAAAAATATGGACAAGAGACAAAAACATTAACTATTTTTTAAATGAATTAATATAGGTACTAAATAACTATACTCGGCGCAAGTTAATCATGACCGGGCAGCGGACCATTTAGCGTCCGTTACGCACAGCCGATTTTTCATTGGTTCCCCAAATATCTGTCCACACCATAGACATAATAGAATGGACTGCGCTTCCCTATGTTCACAATACACATATCATTCAGCTGACATTGAAAGAGAGGGATAGACTAAGATTTGTGGGCAATCATGGAATAAAAATGAAATTTCATGGAGTAAACAGTTAAGCGGAAATATTTAAAGTGGCCCAAAATAGACATAAACACTATGATAATAGGCACCAGTGGCGGCGTGAACTCTTTTATTTCATTATTTTATTTAGTTGTGGCCGGATTATTTTATTTAATATTTAATAATGGATAAATTATGTCTATGAGTGGCAGCTTGTGAATGTATGTAAAATATGGGCAATAGCCAATTGATCGTCGATTGAATATTAAAAATACCAACACTGAAAAAGTGAAAACCCATCGTCGTCCTATATATAGATATTGTCAGTACTGTATTTTAATTTTTAACTATCGTCAAAATATCAAATTGACATTTTTATTTGATCATCAAACGTTCACGAGACTGTCGAGACACGACTATACAATAGTTACAGATCATTATTGTACCTTGTGAAAAATGAAGACGGACACCAATTGACGACTAAAAGTATGTACATAATCAATTACTCTATATTTATTAGAATTTTAAATTATTATATTCTTATATCGGTTGTATAAATATAAGTTACTAGCATAGACCTATAGGGACCTAACTAACTTAGTTTATAGGTCTATGGTTATTAGTTATAGTTAAACTTACTAGTATAAGTTCAACTATAACAATTTGTTATATTTTAGTATTCTATATACTCAACAAAAATCGAAATAAATCTAATTTAATATTTTTAACCAATTAAAATTTATAAGTTTGACACCTCCATCAATGATTCATAATCACAATTTATGATTTATGACTATGATTGAATTATTAGGTAATTAATTAATATAGGTATGAGGTACCTATTATATTTTTTTATAAATTCATAAGTATTTTTTGGGAAGAAAGAGGGATGGTTAAACAATAGGTATATTATCTTTAATATCTATGAATTAAACTAGAAGAATAAAAAACAATAGTTTCTTATTTATATTCCCTCAACACAATATAATTATAAAATATATTACATTAAGCTCAAAACTTCATGACACAAAATACCTGAAATATTATATGAATTAAGCAATAAAAAAACAACAACATTATACCTAATATTATATTATTATATTAATCACAAAATAATAAAAACTTAAATAAACCAAACTTCATTTGAGAAAATATTTATAGTTTAAAAAATAATAGTTTCTTACTTAGGTGATTTCGGGTATTTAAAAAATCAAATATGTTGTTTTGGTGCAGAAAGTAATAGTTGAATCACAGTTGTTAAAATCTGTAAGTTTTAGATTATTTTTACAATATGTCATTGCATCAGCAACACTTTGGCTGAATGTGTGTGCAGCTAACCTTACCTTCATCTTTTCTTTATAATAATTGATGTGTCTTCCTAATTTTTGTAGCAAAATGGAGCCCAAGACCATCTTGTATTGCTACAAGTTTTTCAAAGTATTGCCATTTTATTGGGTTCCCATTTTCATCATATAATTGTTTCCAGTCTCCAAGAGTATTCCTGCAAAGCTTCAGCATGTGCGCTGCATCTAAGAAGATAAGTACATTCTCATTGGTGCCCGGATGTTTAAAGAATGTGGAATCGGAATCAGCTAAAAGCTTTGCACCTAAACAACGGCGCATTGAAAAGTTTGAAGCAGTTCCATCAAACGTTAATGTTCTAATAGAAGCACCAGTATCATTAATTTTGGTCAAACACATATTAACTAAATTTGCCTTTTCTTGGGCAGACATTCCATTGGTGAGGAAATAGGCAACAGGAACTTTCCAACGTGAGTTTATAGCTACTAACATAAATACTAGGGCTTCTTTTGCCTTTGGTAAGTTATCAAAGTCTTCTGTGCCTAAACCTAAATCAACATACCCTTGAATTCTATTATTATTATAATGTACATCTTCTTTAATAAACATCTCATCCATTAATAAGTCACATATTAATTTTTTTCTTTTGGTTTTCTCTAATTGGTCGACCTTAATTTTTATAGCGTTTAGAGACTCAGCAGTGAAACCAGGTGTTCCATCAACTGAAGAATACCAACCTCTTAATGTACTTGTGTGAGGCAAGATTTTAAATGTTTTACGTACATACTCGTAGGCTGCAGGAGAATAAAAATTTAATTTCAAAGCAAATGAACGAATTTCTGGGGGAATAGTTCTTGAAGTTTTCATTTTCAATTGTCTCATTAAAATTTGAAACTCTACATTAGGAACTGTTTCCTAAAAATAAATAAACCAAACCAGACTCAAGTATGATATTATATTTATATTTAACGCAAAATAATATAGTATAATATATAATAGATATTTATTTTTATATTATTATTAGTTTCTTCGTTTGATAATGTAACACATGAGTATTCTAAAAATGTAACATTATACATGCGAATTGAAATATCGTAAAATGGCGATACAAACTTCTGTTTTTCAAATGAACACCCCCTTTTTTACTTTAAATTATTCAGCAAACGAGTTGTAAGTTAAGTTTGGATTTTGATTTAGATACATACAGAAGTTTTTATCGCCATAGGATAATCATTAAGTAGTAGAAAAAATTCAAAAATTATATTTTGATTTTTGAAGAAGTATATTATTAAAGAAGAAAAGGGGGGTGAGCATGTTTGGTGAATCACCCTATATAGTGTGTTCACGGAAACAGAGAACACTATTACTCATTACCCTGTAAACATTTTTAAATTCTGTTTGTGGGACATTGCAAGTTCTAGCTCTTTGTTGCCAGTCCTAGCTCAAACATGCAATGATTAGTTTAATAAACAAATGATCAATGATATAGGTTCATTCTAAAAGTTCATGTTTCTATAGTAATTTGTATCATGGTTGTCAAAAGTAAACAATACGTGCAATTAATAAATAATATAAAATGTCCATATACATTAGTCCAATTAAATGTTAAATAAGCAGAATTGAAAAATATTTACAGGGTAGTGAGTGATAAAGTGTTCCTGGTTTCCGTGAACATACTGTATAATCAATGCTAAGAACTTACTTTAAGCATTGTAAAGCAATTATCCGATATTTTGTTTTTATCTTTCAAATGCTCAACTAACTCCTGTAGATTTTTAATTTTATTCTTCAAATATAAGTTGTTATTCCTCAATTTTTTATTTTTACGTTTTAATATTTTTAATTTATTTTGGCTAGAAATCCAATATTTTCTTCGGCTATTTGGAGTTATTATTTCTGTTTCTGATTTCAAATCTCCGAAAAAACATTTTCTTGCTCTAAAACAAAATTGAAAGTAAACTATTTATTTGATCTTATAGAATACTACATTTCAGACTATTATAATATTAACTACCTTGGTCTTTTAACAGGTGTCAATGGTAAGTCGAAGTCTTGACTAACTATATCATCTATATTTGAATCAATGACTTCGATATTATTCATTGAAGCCACACAAGGAGTACCAGCTAAAAATAATGAGCAAAATATTTTTTTTAATTTCTATAGGTATATTATTTATAATAACTATATAAAATAAAAAAAAAAACAATATAAAATTAATAAACTTACGTGCATTTTCAGAAATTGGATAGGTTATACTCTCATCAATTGTATCAACTACATTTAAATCAATGGCTTCAATATCATTCATAGAAGCCATCAAAGCAGTATCAGCTACAAAAAAATAAGCAAAATTATTTTTAAAATATCAATTATAGTTTTAATAATTATTAAATTAATTAACTTACGTGAATGGTCAGTAATGGCAGAAATCACCAAGTGTTGTTCAGATACATCATCTGCGATCTGCATTCAAATCAATACCAAGAGTGACACAGGCTGGAAAAATACTAGGTACTGATGATTTTTTTTAAGTTTGTTTAGTGCCAGCAATGTTTAAAGTATAATCTGTTGACTGTTTCTACAAAATGATCAGAACATATGACACTATTTGCAGATTTATACTTGAACTCATGATCAAAATCTTGTATAATGTTAATCCATTTATTAAGATTAACAGCATCTTTGGGAAATCTATGAAATGAAGTAAATACATTTTAAAATATCTAAATAAAATTACTTTTCTAATTGTTGTCTTTTATAATTTGTTGCAGTGCCGTAACTAGATACTTTAGACCATGAAGGAAACAATTATTTGGGGAGACCCTCCACAAAATCCATTTATAAACAGAAATTGTTAAAATTATAGACCTCAATAATTCCATAATCATAGTTTTAAATGCGACTACAAATATCTTGGATACCTGTGAAATCTTGGACCTCCTTTTAAAGCTCGGCTTTTTCATCCCAACACACAACAAGTATTAACCATTGTTATGTTTTTTTTATAAATTACAGTAAACTAGAATCAGTAGAATCTCAAGATGTCTAGTAAGTTGTAAGCATAGACGTACTATGGTTGTAAATAGTATTGTAGTAAGTCTAATATTATTTTCAATATAGGTACTTTGATAAGATTATATGAATAACATTCTGTTATCATTATTTTGTTCATGGCGGAAAAATGTTATTATCAATTTCTCCAAGAATGCCCTCAAATGTATAGTTTTCTCTTTTGCACAATGTCGACTTAAGTTATCTCTCTTTAACACTTTGACTACGGCATGGTTTGACCTGAGCGACCCCCCTATGCGGAACATTTTTTTTTGTCAAAAAGGTTCATTTTACTCTACATTACTTGTATCAGTACTTACTTTTACTAATGTTTTGTTTTTCGAGTATAAAAAACGATTGTCGACGCTTATTCGACGTCAGCATCATAGTATGGCGTTTTTCCCAGATGCGGGATGTCGACTATGCGTCGACAATGTTTGGATTTTTATTACTGCGTCTAAACGCCATTATGATTAATGGGTCTAGGACATTTTGCCGCCACCGTTTCGATATACCACCACAACTCGTACCAGAATATACCAGAGATCCAGCAGTGACACCACCAATATGAAATAATTTACAGTGATGCCTTGTTAGCGGCACTCGTCGCTACGCTCCTCGGCGCCGTCGCTCCGCTCCGCAAATCGAAAATATAACTCGACTTGCTATGCAACTCCACCTAAAGTTGGTCACAGTGTAATGGCTGTTATACCATAGTACAACCACTCTTATCATTCAAAAGCTTATCACTACTGAAACGTCCGAAACGGTGGCGGCGAAACGTCCGGCGGCCAAATGTCCATTTCCGTGAATAATAGCCTGTTAACTAAAATTTTATTCGGTCGGAATTTGTTATGTAAAATATGAAAATAAATATATAATAATAATTTATTATTTATATAGGTAGTAATATATTTATTAAATATGTCCTATATTTCATAATAGGACAACTGAAAATAAATAACTGACAACAGTAAATAAAAATAAATGAAAACTTAATAGAATAAAAATAATCATATATTAAAACCTTTAAAAACATAGCAAACGCTTCGCAAATTAAAAATAATTAAAAAACTTAACAAAACGTAAAATAGAACCGTTAAAAATTGTCTATACAATAATAAATCAATAACTAGTAGCCATGATATATTTTATAACACGTACCTAAGTACAATCCTGGCTTTTCGGGGCATTCGTCGCAATTATATGTTGTTTCAACTCTTTTTTTGTTTCTCGTACAAATCACACATCTTTTTCTAATCGGCCTATTTATTGTATTTCTCGGAACTGAAGATATGACATGTAGTCCCTGTTTACTTGTTTTTTGTCTCGGAGTAACGATTTTTGTTATATATTAGTTTGTTGATCACAGCATCTCTGAAGTCTAACAATCTGGTGTTGCGTTTTCCAGGCTGTTGCTTGTATAATATATACGCATTATTCATAATAACATGAAACATAATATGTAACCCGATTTTAGCATACCACCTTAGTATTTTTCTTTCACAAGGATAGTAACTCATGAGTTGGTCACTACGGTCCACACCACCCATAAATTCATTATACTTTTGTACTGATTCCAGCTTTTCCGATACCTTGCCACTTCTTGCCCTGTATTCATTCATAGCATCCCCAAACTCTGACGATATCATAATCACATCTCTTTTATCGTGCCATTTCAGAACACAGATCCCCTTACTGTAAAATGCCGATGTCAACTCTCCTTTTTTCAGCTTTTTACTGACCACATCTGACGGGTTGCCCTTCCTATTTCCTCGAAGAGTCAGTGTTACATATGTATTTTTATCTAGTAAATATTCGGGAATTTCAATGGAGTTATAAAAGTTATCCATATACACCGAATGTCCCACTCCATAATAGTCGTCAAGCAAGTATCTTACGAATTTATTGACATGGCCCTTACCACCCACAATTGGATCACTTGATCCACAATAAATCCTTGTCTTTAGGACAAGGCCATCCGGTTGAGTGAGCACATAAAATTTTATGCCGAATTTGTGTTTTTTATTTTGAATATTTTGGCGGAAATAGAGATGTCCACGCCAAAGAAGCATCGATTCATCTAGACTCAACTCTTTAGTAGGATAGTATACTTCTTTCATTCTATTATGGAATAGGTCAAACAATGGTGTAATTTTATATAGGGTTTCGGGGCTCCAGTAGGCGGGTTTTCGGCGAAGTGTTAACATCGCAATATTAATAAAAATCTATCTCTACTCATAACATTTCTAAAAACATTAAAATTGTACAAATCATTTGTTTTCCAATAATGGGAGGTGGTCGGAGCAGGTATATGTCTGGTTAGAAATATCAAGCCCAAAAAAACTTCCATGTCGTCTCTCGTTATATTTTTCCAGTTTTTATACTTGATTTTGATTTTGTACTTTGACTGCTTAAAAGTCTACCTTGCCGATTTGTTTCTGTAACTATCATATTAAAAATATCGTCAGTAAATAAGTGAAAAAAATTATCTATAGGTTCATCTGAGGTTGGAACTTGAAGCATACCCGTAGAGCCAACAAAAGTAATTAATGGAGCTTGTTAAGGAATCGGAGTTCATACTTGCTGATTTTGGGGCTGAATTACTCTGGATGGTGACCCTGTAGGTAGGTCATGTGACGAGGAAGAAGTAGAAATATTTTGTGTAGATTGGTTTGGGGATTGAAGAGGTGCCTCGGTGTATTCTTCAACGATATATTCGCCGTCATCATCTTCACTGTCGAAACCAAAATTTTCATTTTTAGGGCCCCGCCACACTACTCCGGTTTCACCGGACCGGCGAAAACGCTCATTATAAACCGGACCGGACATTGTCGCCACACTATTGCGGTATTGCCGCGTAAACGGTTACCCTTTCCACCTAAATTTCCACATGTACACTTGATATAAATTATTTAGTAATGCATTTGTAGCACAGAAAATGGTCATTTGTCCGCATGTGCATTTTGAGTGAACATACGTTAATTAGTTATTATTTTGTATATAATATTTAAATTAATATATAAAATGAATAAAAAAATAAAAGCGGTTTGTATTGCGGAAGCACTTGGACTGTTAGATGAGCCCCTGCAACGTACATTTTGGGTTCATCCATTAAACGTTAATCGTGAAAAATCCCAAAGATTTTCATTATTTTTTGAAAATTTAAGAAAATATCCGGATAAATTTTTTGATTACTATCGCATGTCCATAACATCATTTGATGAACTTTTGGAATATATTCGTGAATATATTACGAAAAAAAATACGTCATTTAGAAATGCAATTTCGGCGGAAGAGCGTTTGACAGTGACTACTGACTCTGGTTAGTGATATTAAAATTTTTTTTTTCTTACTCAAACTGGAAAAAAAAACATAACATAATTATTATAACATAATGCATAATTTTTATCTTACATAATATTTTCAATACTTTTGACAAAAATATCATTGATCGGTAATATTTGTATTCTGCTTATGAATATATTTTGAATAGTTTATTAAAATTTTTTTAAGTATGATATCCCTAAAAATAAATGCTTCAAGGGTGTAAAGACCGACACAAAATTACACAAAATTAAAAAATGCATTTAAAAATTTTAGATCAAAACGTATATGTTTATTAAAGGATTCATTTAAACTCATAATTTAAATTATTATTAGGTAAAATTAATACAATTAATAGTTATACATAATAAAAAAATAAATAGTTAATACTTTTTATAGGTATACCTACCTACTTGGTATAGCAATAAATATAAATTAATTTTAACTTAAAATATTTAAATACATTTTTTTAATTTAAACATTACCTACCTGGTATAACAAAAAATAATACAATTTATAAATTAATATTTATTTAAATAACAATTATTTATCACCAATATGTTTGTAAGTATGCGCATCTGAGGGCAGTGTAAGAGGGCTAGGAAGCAAATACGGATTAAATAGAGACGGCAATGTTGAGGATGTTGGTGTAGTTAAAGTAGAAGATTGCTGATAAATATCTGATGAATGATAAGTGGATGATGGCATCCCTATGTTATGATGCAGAGAAGGGTTAAGACTATTCGGATAATTTGTTTGAACACTATATGGAACTTCAGATTGCAAAGTATTTATGTTATAGATGCTATGATTAGAGAGTTCTGGTAGAGTATTGTTTGAATTGGATTCGTGAACAGGATTTTGGAAATTGTGTGGTTGTTGTACTGTTTTGGGAAGACCTTTGAAAAAATTAATTACATGTGATTGAAAATCCAATTTTTGCTCTTCCGTTAATTTTTTAACATGGTTTAAAAAACTCATTAAAAGCGACACATCAGGATCTATATCATCGGACTTTTCTAACATACGCAACAATTTTGACTGGAGAGGAGTTTCAGAATTTTTTTTTTTTTTACTTGGATAGTTAGTTTTGTCATATTGAGACGGGCCAGGCAAATTCGAGATATTCATACTGATTTCGTTTTCAGCGTCTCCTATGACCGACTCGTCGTGTATGTTTTGATCAATTTCATCGACTTCATTTGAAATATCCACAATATTACTTGTCGTCCTGATAATAATATTTTATTAACACACAAATGACTAATATTATAATATTCTACATTTTGTAAAAATTGAAAAAATAAAATATATGAATAATATATGATAATATAAGACACAATAAGTAATAATAAACTTTTAAGATTTTTAGACTTTGAGGGGAGCGATGAATGTATTGATTTTATAAAGTTGTTTTTTTAGATTCTGAGCGGAGCGAAGAATGTATTGAGTTTACTATATGTGTGTGTGTTTTTTTTTTAAATTTTTTTTTATATGTGTACACGGGAACTTGTCGAAATAATGCTTTGATTTTCAACTTCAGTAGCTTTTCCGATTCGAAAATGAATCTAGTTGGTGCATTTAGGCGGTCATTTTTTGAAATTCTCAATATTTTTCAAAAGCACTGGGAAAAACCAAAAAAAAATTAAGGAAAAACGGGAATTTTTACGCAAAATCAAGATCAGATTTTAGATATTGGTGTAACTCTAAAACTAATTACCGTAAAAACATGAAATTTTCACAGAATGCTTATACATTTTCTATACATGATACAATTTTTAAAAAATAAAGGATGGTATTGAATTTGAATTCAATGATACAATATCATTGTATACGAAAAACGATTCTGAACAAAGACGAGTTTTCAGTCTTGAGTAATTTTTAGAATATAAATTATATTATTTTAAAATAAAATGTAGGTACCTATAAAATAAATTCCAAATTGATCAAATTAGATTCATTATGTTGCGTGGAACCTTGTTTCAAATTTTCAAGTTTTTTGACCCAACGAATACAATTTTATTGACATTTATAGAGTAAAAAACAAAAAAAAAGGAAAATTTCAAACGTCTATAAATAACTTAAAAATTATTGAAATATTTTGAAAATTTTATCAAGTATAGTAATTGATGATGTAAATATTTGGTGCAAATTTCAAGTTTCTACAAATATTCGTTTTTATATAACAACAAAATAAGTATATCGGTACAACAGAAATTGAGTGAATATCTAATATTGTAATTCAAATGCTCTTAAAAATTTAATTTGACTTTCCAGTAGAAATTGTTTTATGATAAAAGTAGACAGACTCCTGGAGAATCTTGTATAGAATTTCAAATGAATTTCTAACTCAAAATAAATTGCAATTTTTCGTGATTTTTACGTATTTTGTCAAAATTCGAACTTTCAATGCTAATAAAAAAAAATCGTGACTATGTATTTTTAATATTTTTTAACTACTATTTCAACAATATATTAGATGCCATGTATTAAATTTTGAAGCTTTTTTTTAAAATTATAACAATATAATTAATATAGTATAACATATCCTAGACTGACAAACCGTCTCCACTTAGAATCGTTTTTTGTATACAATTATATTATATCATTGAATTTATTCCAATTTAATACCATCCATTACAGTCACCCACTTGTAACCTACTGTACTTCAGATCGACATCCACTTACATACCTGCTTTTTTTAGAATAATTTTTAGTATTTTATTTAGTATTTATTTTAATTGATCTTTAGTATTATATTTTCAAATGTTACATTTCAAAGAACAATTTTTATAAATGTCTAACTCAAAATAAGAACAAGACAGTTAAGTTAAAAAATCGAAACATAATTTTGAATACTTATCAAGTACATTGTACACAGGCACAAACAGTTTAAACATTTTTTTAAAAAGACACACATTATCAAATCAATACATTCATCGCTCCATACTCCACTCAGAATCTAAAATTATTATTAAAAAAATGTTGTCTATAATATTTTTTTAGATTTTAAGTACAGCTTACTTTCTTTTTTTCACTGTTTGTTGCAAAAAATTTAATGCATCAGCATATACATATTTTTTTTTTGAACTTCCTTCATCACCACTTTTTCCTTGATTGATAAATTTAGCGTAATTGTCACGAATATGACGCCAGGTATTTTTCATTTCTTTAACTATTTAGTTTTTAAAACAAAATTAAAAATTCATAATAACTATGAAATAGTAATAATAATATATAATAATAAAAAATAATTAATGAATTATAATAACATAGAACATTTTTAGCCTAAGATAGTAACTATATAAAATTGTTTTTAATTTAAGGTTTTTATCTACTGGCACAAGTTTTGGTGCATTACAATTTGATTTTTTCATTGCTCGGAGTACTATTGGGGAAATTGTAAAGGAGACATGTACCATTTTGTGGATGGTTTTACAACCAAAAGAAATGCCAGAGCCTTCAAAAGAAAAATGGGTTGAAATCGCAAATACTTTTTATGAGAAAACTAATTTTCCAAACTGCTTAGGGGCAATAGATGGTAAGCATATTCGATGTAAAGGTCCAAACAATTCGGGCTCGCTATACTTCAACTATAAAAAGTACTTCTCGATTGTACTAATGGCGATTGCTGATGCCAATTTATGTTTTATTGCCATTGATGTTGGTGCCTATGGTAAAGAGGGAGATTCGAATGTTTTTAAAGACAGTTGTTTTGGGAAAAAACTTTATTCAAATCAACTCCAACTACCAGAATTAGCAAATTTACCTAATACAAATGAAAATCCTCAGCCTTTCGTATTTATTGGAGACGAGGCGTTCGCCTTACATTCGAACTTATTAAGACCATACCCAGGACGTGGTCTTAATGATACTAAACGGATATTCAACTATAGGTTATCAAGGGCAAGAAGGATGGTAGAATGTACTTTTGGTGTTCTAGCTAATAAATGGCGTGTCTTACATACACCAATACAAGTAGAGCCCGATTTTGTGGACGAAATAATTAAATCGTGTTGTGTTTTACACAACTTTGTTCGAAGAAGAGATGGCTTCAATAATGAAGATACAGAGACCAATATGTTGGATGATATTGAAGTTCATGGTACCGGTGCTCGAACTCAAGGTACTGAAGTTAGAGATTACTTTGCAAATTATTTCATGGGACCTGGATCAGTGCCATTCCAATTTCATAAAATTTAATCTTGATCTAAGTACCTAATTTAACTTGTTCTACTTGAATAATAATTAGTAGTATTTATTTATTTCTACCTATAATATTTATTAATATTTATATTATAATTTAGTAAATGTATACATAAATACAATAACAACATTTGTCATATTTTACACATACATACATTTTTTTTTTATATATAAATTATACATACAATTATAAAATATATTTTAATTGTAAAGGTTTATAAATTGATATTGAAATATAAAAGTAGGTTCCTACTTGTATAAATATTAGATATCTATAATATTATATTATACCTAATGTTTTACATTTAATATATATATATTAAATAATACATCTATTTAGTATTTATATATATATATATATTATTAAATTGTATTAATAATTTGATGAATAATATAATATATAATGTTCATCTTTGTCATATGTTTAAACTATTAATAGTTTTTCTATACAAACTGCGGATTCATATGAAATATAAATCATATACTAATATTAATTATATACCTATATTATACACTGATTTACATTTTTACATAATATATGTGTTATTTTCTTACCTCTTTCATCTTTTCCATTCTTTTCCAGCTCATTCCAATCTAAATACATTGAGCTCCCGATGTCCATCCAACTTTTAAGTTTCAGATGCTTGTCTGAATATTCTTTGGAACCCATTTCCCATATCGAGTTATTAGTTTGAATACATTGAATAAATTTATCATTGTCAAACATGATATTAACCGAAAATTTATTCAATAAGAAATATAACTTAAGAAATCACAAATCGCAATTTCGAAAACTGCAGTCCGGTTAAAACGCAACAGTGTGACAGGTATGATTTGAAATAATGTGTTTTGATTGTTTCATCCGTCTATCCCTTTCCGTTTTCAACGCATCGCGCCCCGTTCATTCCGGTCGACGCACGACCGGACATGAGTTTACAGGAATAGTGTGGCGGGTTAAATTTAAATCAATGTGTTTTGATAAACCGGATGACCGGTGCGTTTTCGCCGGTCCGGTGAAACCGGAGTAGTGTGGCGGGGCCCTTAAAGTCTGAATCCTGTAGAAGCGCCAACAGTTCTTCGTCATTCAAAGCATAACGTGATGTGGTAGATTTTGATGGACTTGGTGTAATGTCATCAATTTTTGACGATTCACTATCGTCATATGACAAACGTCTTTTTGCTGATTTTTTACTCATTCTAGGGAAAATAAAATTACTAAGCACACTCTGTATAATGTCCAGTAATTATATGAAATACAAAAAATAACAGCAAATATACAGCAGGCTGAATCTACAACATTTGTATAGAATTCAAAGAAATAATAATAAATGGTAACGATAAGAGTTCGACACTGCTAATGAAAAACGACATACAATTATAAACATAATATTATGTGAAGAAAATTATCAGTGTGGCTCCACGTGGAGCCGATTTTAAGTAATTTATAATAATGGAATAATGATGTAAAAATAATAATAGTAAGTATAATAATGTTTATTATAAGAAATATGGTTATCTTACCTTTATTACGAAAATAATTAAATAATTAAAAATAGCTGTAATTTCAAACCACCGCGAATTAAACAATTTCAACCTCTTATCTGTGCGGAGGCTTAAGCACGAATGGCTTGTTGTATGCTAGTATTATTGGGAGAGGTCAGAAAGTAATAAACAGGTTGTCGACGATGCATCGACGCCCGCCGCATAGAACAAATACGATTTGTCGACGACGCAGTCCATTCTATTATGTCTATGGTCCACACTTCCATAGTTATTCAGCGGATCATACAAACACTGTGCTCTAGTGGTTTGGCCGCGCAACGCCGCTCCGTCATAAAATCGACTGTACAGTGTGGTGGAGTGAGTTCTAGTTCTTTATAATCACGTGCACGTCTCTGTTGATTCACGAGGCCATTGGTGAGCGATGCGGCGGAGGAAGTTGTTTTGGATGCGCGACTGGTCATGATCTTAAAATGCGCCGAGTATAATAAGGTATATTATTATACCTGCATTAGCTATTTACTATGCCTGAATAGGGTAAAATATTCTTATTGGTAATATTTAAGTACCCACATATTATTATTATTAACCAAGCCTAAACTACAGTAGAAACAGTTTACAATGAAGTTCAAAGGATCAAAGAAAATAAGTCATAATAACCGGTTGTCATTATAACCAATATTAAAAAAAAAATTGTAACTTTGCTACATATTATTATTACATATTTATGCAGTATAATATAGAAAAAAAGTAAAGATAAAAACATTTAATTATGTAAGTATTTAAATTACAGTAGAAACCGTTTATAATGACACCGGTTGTAACGACATATTGGATGTAGTGACCTTAGATAAGGTCCCGGCAAAACTCCTTTTTTTTTATTTTTTTTTATTTTTTTTTTATTTTATTGGTTATACGGGCTTTGGCCCTTTTACATTACAATATGTATTTTACATTAGACATTTTACAATTAGATAAGGCAACTTAGATCTAAACAATTTACATTAATATGTAATATGTATATCAGATGACAATAATAGCTTAATATGTTGAAGAAAAAAAGAAAAAAAAAAAAATATAATAAATAAAAAATAAAAATATTTTACAAATTTAGCAAATCGTCAAAGGAAGGCTCTGCATTGGCAGACGTCATTAGGCGTCTTAAAGGCTTATTAGCCATATAGTTGGTGGTGGCGTGTGGGACATAGAAGAAGTCCTTTGAACGGGATTGACGGGATGGAACTTTAATGGAGATTTGAGAGAGAAGGACTGGAGAATCAATATTGTTGTTTAAAAGGTCCGCAAGGAATTTTAAATCTGAAACATAGCGACGTTCGGCCAAAGGGGCCAGACCAAGATGAACAGCAATCGGTGAATAGTCGTGAGGTGCACATGGTATCTTAAGAATATGACTAGCGTGGCGCAGGAACCGTCGCTGAACACGCTCAATTTGCCTTGCATTATCTGCTGTATGTGGGTTCCAAAGTACGGTTCCATATTCTAAAATGGGACGCACAAGAGCGCAGAAAAGTGTTTTTAAAGATGAAACAAGCCGAAAGTCCTTTATTAATCGAATGACAAGACCAAGAGCTTTTAAAGCTTTACAACATATGTATTCGATGTGTGCAGTTGGGTCCAGATTGTAGCTTAGCTTGAACCCAAGATCCATGACAAAGTCCATAGTACGAGAAACAGCTGCATTGTTGATGAAGTATGGGGACATTATCGGAGAACGGGATCTAGTGAAGGTCATTATTTTGAATTTATCAAGATTAAGTGATAAACCTAGAGTGTTAAACCAATTTGAGAACCGATCGAGGTCGGACTGAAGATTTCTGCAATCATCTGCCGTGGTTACGCGCATATATATTTTGATGTCATCAGTAAAACATAGAAATTGACAGTGATGTAGCACACGATGGAGGTTGTTAATAAATAACTAAAACAATATTGGCGACAGATGACTCCCTTGAGGGACACCAGACGATGCTAGGAACAAATTAGACTTAACATCAAATATTTTAACACATTGATACCTGTTAATAAGAAAGGATCTAAACCAAGATAGAAGGGGTTCGCCAAAACCTGATTCTTTGAGAATATGTATAAGCACATTATGATTGACTGAATCAAAAGCTTTTTGAAAATCAATGTAGATTACATCTACCTGAGTTTGGTGTTGAAAGGAGTCGAAGACATAATTATTGAATATAAGATTGCATGTGGTGGTAGACCGTCTTGGGCGAAAGCCATGCTGTTCTTCGGCTAGAATCGAATTAACTGTCGGTTGAATTGAATTTAAGACCAGGTGTTCAAAAATTTTTGAGATGTGCGATTGGATGGAAATAGGTCGATAACTGGATACAATGGAGGGGCTACCAGATTTGGGAATAGGAATTACAGAACTGAGTTTGAATATAGAAGGAAAAGTGCCTTCATCCAGTGACCTCCTAAATAGAAGCCATAGTGGATAAGCAATAATTGCTCTTATTTCAAATAAAAAATGACCTGAGAGGCCATCCGGGCCAATAGACCATACATTTTCCAACGAGGATAGGCCATGGAATACATCTTCAGCGCTGAACAAAGCATTATTGGGCAGATCGAAGGCGGGAACATCAATTTTTTTGGCATCAAAATCAACATGTTTAGTAGAGTACACTGAGGAAAAGTAGGCAGAGAAGAGATTGGCAGTCTCTTGTTCATTACTAGAAGTGAATTCGTTGTATGACATTTCCTTGGGAATATTATTTTTTGAGCGGTTGTTTCTAACAAATTTCCAAAAATCATTAGGCTTTGTCTTAAGGGCTGTTTCAGTACGGTGTATAAAGTCTCGGTAACATTTTTTTGTTTCATATTTAAGTTTGGCACGCAGTAAAGAGAATTCTCTATAATCATTAACACTTAGAGAGGATTTATATTTAATATGAGCCTTTTTTTTCGAAGATAATATACTTTTAAGATTTTTAGTATACCAGGGTGGGAATGTTGATTCATTAAAAGAGACTAGGGGGATGTGATCCAAGATTGATTTATGTAATGCATCGTATAACACATTAACCGCTGAATTCAGGTCGTATTGAGAAAAGGTTGAAGACCAGTTAAATGAAGACATAAAGGAACGGATATTCTCATAATCGCCTTTGCGAAAATTGAAGAATTTGTGATTCTGCTTACAGCTAGGTACTGGGAGACTAAATGGAAGTAAAATATTTAAAGCTGGGTGGTATTTATCAATAGGAACTAGCGGGTCAAGTGACTTTTCAACGGTTAGAGCTTTATCATTGCAAAAAACTAGGTCTAGAATCGAATTCGTTGAATTATAAATATTATTTTTTTGAAAGAATCCATTAATTGCAAATGATTCGGGAATACAAGGAGCACGAGCAGGAGAGGAATAAGAGTAAACAATACCATAGTCATCATTATCCCATACTGTTTCAGGAATATTATAATCTCCACAAATAATAAATTTGTCATTAGGATAAGTATTAAGCAAATATTCAATGGAAGAAACGTGTGATTCATAAATTAAAGGAGATGAGTGAGGGGGAATATAGGCACCACCAACGATGAAACCGTAAGAACCAATAGTAAGACGGACAAAAACATGTTCAACATTTAGTTGAGTAACTTTAACGATGCATGCAGGGTAATCTTTACGAATGCCAATGAGAACACCACCACCCCGACTACAATTGCTATTAGAAATACATCTGTCATACCTAAAAATATTATAATTAACAAGACCAAGTTCAGAATTAGAAATATTGTTATGTAACCAAGTTTCAGTTAGTACAATGAATATATAATTTACAGAAGATGCATTACATTTAAAATTGGTTAACTTAGTATTAAGACCCCTACAATTTTGGTAGAAGCCGGATAATGAGGTGGAAGCTACTAGTTGATTTTGGTGTTGGTTATTGGATCGGCTAGTCGCCGATGGTGAACTCCGTTTTTTGACCCTTCAGAGATCACAATCGGAGAACCGTTTATGTACTTGATGGATAGCCCAGATTCGCCATTTCTAGTCCTATGGTCAAATTCCGAGTGGCATGATCTCAATTGTTCGCGCTGGAGTTTGGTCTTGTCCTTGACAATTCGAAATCCCTGCGTAATTGATACCCCTTGGTTTCTTAAGTCAGCAAAGGACGCAATCAGTTTAGATGCATCTTCTTTTGAAGTGTAAATGACTTTGAGAGGGCGGACATAATCAGCGCGAGCTTTACCGAGTCGAATGTACTTAGAGCCATGAGAAGGCTCAATCGAATTCTCTTCGAGTAGTTTTTGAAAAGTTTCCTTATCGTCTTTAACACGTTCAGTGATAGTAGAGGAAATTGACTCTGGGACACCATACACAAGAGCATTATAAGAACATCTTTCACGCTCAAATGTCTCCTGAAGAACTTGTGAAACGGTAGTAGATGCAATGTTAGGGGTTGAACCTGACTCAAGGTTCGCAACTTTGTCCATAAGTGAGTCAACGTCGTTTCGTAGCGCAGTATTTTCGGCTTTAAGGTCCGCAATTAAACATGAAAGGTTCTTAAGGTCATTTTTTAAGTCTCTGAATTGAGATGCTTGGGCGGCAGATAGTTTCTCATTGGAAGTTGTAAGGTCGTTCCGAAAAGAAAGTAGAGTCGACATCACGTCATCTATAGTTGAAGAACTTGCAACCGGAGAGAGAACTTTTGAGGAGGTAGGTTGGGTAGTAGTAGTACGGGTACGAAGAACCCGGTCAGAGGAAGAGCTATTAACTGGTTTATTTCCTGAATTCATGACGAGTATTGATGGTTTGTATATAATGTAGTAGTAGTAGATAGATAAGTACCAGCGTTAAAGTCACTGGATAGAAGTAGGTGGAGGTATGGTGTATATAATAATTCAGAAACAATGGCAACCACTGTTAAAGTCTCCGGAAAACAGCTGTTAGTGGTTGTGAGAAACAAGCACAACGTGATAACAACAAAACAAAATTTCAGTACTCACGAAAAAGCTGCTCCGAGGAAACTCGAAAAAGATCACAAAAACCGAAGTAGGTGGACTGCGTCGACTTCCAGAACACTATGAATACACTTAGAATGGTTAAGTAGCAAGTGAAAGAGAAGTGCATACAAATTACAATTAAAAATTGTCTTATACCGAAGACGATGTGCACACGGAGACTGTTATCATTCAAAAAAGAATGAAACTTTATGAACACATAATGATTTAATTTTGAAGAAAAGGCACGATTATGTCGTGCCCTATCGTTATCGTTCGACGAAACTCGTGATTACATCATTCAAGGAATTTATCACAAAGAATTAGCCATGTACGTGCTGGGTAAGTATCACACTGACGAAGAAGAGCCGATGAGCGATCTGTTGGATTGGACGCGGATGAATGCGAAACGTACTGAAATTAAGCAGGAAAATGAACAAAAGGGTCGCCCTACTACAAAAGTGAGCACGAAAGGTGGCTCAGGGCCTGGATGTCTTGCTTCTGGTTCGATAGAAAAGTGGGTTGCGAAGACAGCTAAACCAGAAGTGAGTGACAAGTTAAGGTTAGGTCAACCCCTACATTAAGTGTGGGGAGGTTAACGGCGTTGAAATGACAGTGCTGTTGGACACTGGAAGCTATTATACTTTGTTGAGATCCAGTATGGCATTCCGATGCAAGTTAGAGCTGAAGAGAACTTAGAAATCGTTATACGGACTAGGTAGTGTCTCAGTGCTGTCAGTGAATGCTGTGGGAAAAGCAAACGCCACGATAACGGTAGATAATGTCGAGGCTGGTCCGGTCAAAATATTGGTTGTACCTGATGATGTACAACGGAACGACATGGTCATTGGTCGCAACTGGTTAGACCTGGATGTAGTTACTTATAAGAAGGAAGAGGGAAAGCTCGTTCTGTGCAAGTCGAAAAATGACATAGGACTGGGCGATGTGTCGGTCGTAACCATGGGCAATGAGCTGGATATACTGCAAGTGCTAACAACAGTACCAGGACAGAGACGTAGAGACCTAACAACCGAAGATTTCAAGTATGTTAACACTGATGTATCTACTGAAAAACAGACAGAACTGCTGTCGTTGATAAACGAGTTTCGCGACTGTTTTGCTCTGGGGATCGAAGAGTTGGGTTGCACGACAATGACGGTGATGGATATTAACGAGATGGAAGGAAGTGTACCAGTAACTGGCCGACCATACAAAACCATGGCTGCCGATCGAGAAGCTATAGCTGAAATAATCGGAGAGTGGAAACGACATGTTGTGGTGGTGGAAACTGACTCACATTAAGCTAGTCCAGTGATTTTGGTGAAACAAGGCGATAAAAACAGATTATGTGTGTACTATAGAAAACTGGATAAGCAGATAATAAGACACAATTTTCCATTACCTGACCTACAGGAACAAGTTGAGTCACTGAGGGCAGGATGTTACTTCACGCAGTTGGACCTGGCGAGCGGTTATTTGCAAGTGCCCCTGTCTGAAGTTGCTCAGGAGAAGACGGCCTTCATCACACCTGATGATACTGGCCAATTCACCAGAATGCCCTTCGAGTTAGCTGGAGCTCCTGGAGAGTTAACGCGGATAATGAGAAAGGTGTTGTGCAGTCTTAAAGACAGAATAGTCAAAAACTATTTGGACGATTGGGTGGTCGATGCTGAAGACTGACCGGATATGCTTAAAAAACTAAGAATGGTCCTAGGGAAATTGAGAGTTGCAAATCTAACACTAAAGCCGTCAAAGTGGCAGAGACTATTGAATTTTTGGGATTTGTCATAGGTGGAGGCCAGATCAGTCCAGGGACAGTGAAGAGTCAAGCCATTGAAAAGTTCCCGACTCCGAGAGATGTCCTCACCGGATTCTTTAGACGTTTTGTCCAGAACTACGCCACCTTGGCAGAATCTCTATCAAGACTAACAAAAAAGGATGTGGTGTTCAAGTCGTCAGCAACTCAAGAGACTGCATTCAATGAAACGAAGAGGGTATTTGTTGATAAACCTATATTTTGTATGTTTGACCCAAAAGCGGCTGACACTGAGATCCATACGGACGCAAGTTCTGTGAGGCTGGGACATAGAGTAATATAGAGAGGACATAATGTATACCGTACGTGTTAAGAAAGTGAAGCCGGGCAATCGGAACAGTACTCACTTAACAAAACTATAAGCCGCAAGATAGCGTGCAAAACCTAACCTCCTATTTATATTTTGTACGTTTTTAATTTTAAAAATTTTATTTTCAATAACGTTTTTGTGTTTTCATACTCAATTACTCAAATCTTATTTCGCATTTTCGGCTTTCGCGTTCGGCGAATTTTTACTTGTTAGTTGTTGTTTACTTTATTGACTTTGTTGTGCATCTTTAAAATATTAACTGGTTCTATACATTTCAAATACAGTTTTTATTTGAATTGCAATGCCAAGCTGTAATTTGTGTAACACAAAACTCTAAGAGTAAAAAGACACAAATTACTTTTCACAGGTGAGTGAGATTTATTAGTATTTAATCCACTGACATATTATCATTACCTTGTATACAATTGTATTGTTGTGCTGTTGTGCACTATTATCACGTTGAGTGCCATGAGACACAAATTTGGGTCTCACTTGTCTTCAACCAAACCACCAAATAATTTTTGGTGTGGTTTACTCAAAAAAAATTTGAAAAAAAAATTGCCCAAATGGTTTGAAATTTTACACATACTATCATGGCTAACCTAAGAGATTAATAATATTTTTGAAATGATTAGGAGTGAGACCCTAAAATAGGTCTCATGGCCAAACGAAGTCGCCTATCAAAAATATGTTATTTTTCTGATATTTTGAGACTCATATTTGACCCTCAACTATTTTATAAAATAGGTTATCATAGATTGACATAACCAATTATAAATGTTATTGGTAAATTTAGAGTAAACCAATAATAACATGTAGTCAATTGTATGTAATTAATTGTATTAACATATAAAAATAACATTGCTTATGTTCAATATTCTTATAGAAAAAAAACTAAAAACTTACAAAAAAAAATTTCAGATTACTCAATTGAATAATAATAGCAATACATAATGATTGTAACTTTTTTTATAAATTATAAAACAAAACAAATCAATAAAAACTTGAAACATCTTTTTTCAATCTACTCAATTGAATAAAAATACTAATAATAATAATAACTTTTTTTATAAATTATGAAACATAACAAATCAATAAAAATTCTACTTCTTTACAATTTTATGTTCCTCAAAAAAACAATCAAGACAAAAATGTTTATCACATAAAAAACATTTGGTATTAATTTTTTTTGTATTGCATTGTGCATATTTTCTGCCTTTTTTTAACTGTTTTAGAGTAACATCCAGCACATCTACTTCTATTTGATTTTTCTAAAACATGTTTTTGTGATGTAACTTCTGTGATAGTTTCTTTATTTATTAACTGTTCTACAAGTGTAGTTCTGAATGCTGTAATAGACATTTTTGAAGATGTAACTTTTTGGAATAAAACTAGAGCATTAACAACACTAATGTTTAATAATGCATCTAGAGCAACTTTTCTATACCACTTTTGACTTTGACGAAGAGGGTTGGAGTAGGAGGTCATCTGATCTGAGAGGTCAATTGAAGTCTTTCCAACATTATAACCAACAACTACTGTTGGTTTCTGTACTGTTTTTCTTCTTTTCAAATTTGTAAGAGCACTATCATGTTTAGAAGAAATCATAACTAAATCCCGTTTGTCCCGCCACTTCAGCACCAACACATTGGATGAGCTTCTCTGAGATACAATTTCCCCCCCTTTTTAATTTTTTTTTAGTCACTTCTTTCGGATTAGACTTTCTATTGCACCTTAATGTTCCAACTAAATATGTATTTCTTGATTGTAATAATTCAGCCAGTTCTACACTTGAATACCAGTTGTCGACAAAAATGGTTCTACCATTATCAAGATAGGGTTCGGCTAATTCCATTACTATGTTACTTCCAACATTTCCAACATTTCCAACATTTAATATATTACTAACTTCTTTTCCGCAGTATACCTTCATAGCAATAGTATAGCATGGGGAAATACATAACTTAAATTCTTTGATGTCAAATCTATCCCTTTTATTTTTAATGTATTGTTTAAAAGCAAGTTTTTCCCATGAATTTAACTAAGGACTCATCAATACACATACTTTGGTCTGGTTGCATACAATAATTAGAATTTATCATAATGTCATCAATAACTGTTCCTAATTTGTACAACCTATTTGTAGGGTCAGCACAAGTATTGTCAGAAAAATGTTTAGTTTTCATTAAACATTCAAATCTATTGCGACTCATTATAGTACCAAATTGTGTAGAATAAATTCTTGATAAACTCCAATAAAGATGATAGGATGGCAATGAAACTAATCCTGTCCATAAAAGAAGCCCAAAAAATTGTTTTAATTCACATTCATTTGTATCGTGCCATTTGTTTAAACGTGCATGTGGTGAAATTGTTCTAGCACTCAATAGTTGAGCAGCATATCTATTGGTTTCTATCACAATTTTATGTATTATATCATTACTCACTATGCATTGATAAAAATCTAATGGAGTTCCATCTTGAAGAGTGTCAATAAGATCTGGATTTAAACCAATATTGCTGTTATTTGTGTTGAAAGTATAATTATTAATATTTTGGTCATCATCTCTCCACTGACGATCAATTTGTTGATGAGCCTGATGAGGTATAGTACTTGGAATATTAGCAGGTGGTGAAGAATCGACAGACATTTCTGAACCACTAATATGAGATATATCTGAAATGTATAAGAAACTAATGTAAATCTGTGATTTACAGTTATACAAAATATATAAATACCAGAAAGTGATTCAATTCTGTTAATATTTTCATCATTAAAATAAAATATTCCCGACAGTTCATCATCTAAAATAAATTTCAACCTTAGTTAATAAATAATTTGCATATGTACATTATTTCTATGAGAATACCATTTTCTTCTGTTTCAATTTGTTCAGGATCTGAATCGTCTTCAAATGCAGCTATTTAATAGTTTTAAAAAATTATTAAGTTATTTAAAATGCAAAAAATCTTAATATACTGTTCATAATAATTAATAAACATTAGTAGGTATTTACAAGTATTATAATCTGGATCTTTATCCGAGTCGTCATCGTCAAAATCAGAATCCAATATTTCATTTATTTCATATGGATTCATTTGTATGAGTTAAATTTATAATTATTTAAATTTGAAATTGTTTTGATTATATGAATCTTTATTTCACTAGTAATAGTAAACTAAATGTTTTCAAAAGATCTATAAATAACCGTAGATTACGATTTAAGACAATAAGTACAATTTCTTATCATTGACATTGATACAATAACACGGTTACCGCGGAATATTATAAAACAACTATTACATTACAGACATCGATGTTACAGAATAGAAAAAAATTCATGAAAAAAATAATAAACAAGATATCCCGTTGCTACAAACACCAAATTGATGTGGCAACACTGTAGAATCAAAATCCAATGAAATAATTCCTATAAATAAGACCAATTTCTGGTAATCGCGAATAAATACAATGATATAATGAGACCCATATATGGATCTCACAAGATGTTTTATTGTACTTTATTGAGACCCAATTATGGGTTTCATGGCCAAATTAAGTAACTTAGTAGAAAACCCTTGGCGCTCAACGTGTTATAAAATATCTATAAATCTATAATAGTTCCACTATTATTATTATTTTTTCCTAATTTAATATTTTGAATGATTTTGCTTACATAGGTATCCAAAATGTCCAGAGATCCGTAAAAAGTGGATTGAGTTCAGTAGACGCTATGATGAGCATAGAATCATAATAGTAAATGATAAAAGTGTTGTGTGTTCTGCTCATTTTATGGCTTACTCTTTTAATGTGTATATTAAAAATACTATGTTGAAACCTACAGCTATACCATCATTAATAATTCAACGTGTTCGTTTTGTAAGTTAATTGTACTTAATAATTTCTTATTCATTATACTAAATTTAATATTATTGTATTGTGTTAGTATATATTAGATTATCCTGAAATAACAACAAATTTGAATTCTAATGAGGAACAAAAAGTGGATGATATAGAAGATAAACTTAGCATCATTTCAAAATCTTCTAAGGTATTTGAACCTGAAATGGATGGAGTTGAGTGTCTGGAACCAAGTAGTTCTAAAGGCAAAATTGCTATTACCAATGACAGTCTAGTATCTAATAATGAATTGTCAACCAATGTATGTTTAATTTTTTTTTTTATGTTAACCATTTTATATATATATATTTATACTAGTATGTATTGTTCTTATTGTTTTTACTAGGTCAATAGAGAATCGTTTGTTGAAGCCAGTATTGTGGAAGACGATGACACACCCAGAAGACGGTTTCTTAAACGAGGAATTTCCGTCCTAGCTCATGACACTAATTTGAAATAAAAAAAAAATTAAAATTTTGAACCAAACAATTCGAAGCCAGAGAAAAAAATTGTATCTTTAAAATGCATCATTTCAAACCTTAAAGATAACAATTTAATAAACGAAGACACATCAACATTGTTATTGGATAATTTTGGTGAGAATAAACATTTAATTACAAGGCTTGCTAAGAAAAATGCTGGAATGGCACCAATTAGAAAATATTGTCCAGAACTTCGTAGATTTACTATTTCCTTGCACTTTCATTCTGTATCTGCTTACAACTTTGTCAGAAAAGAATTTAATACAATTCTTCCACATCCTCGAACGCTTGGAAAATGGTATTCTAAAACCAATTGTGAACCAGGGTTTACAACAGAAGCTTTTAACACTCTTGCCTTAAAATGTAAAAATACTTTAAACCCTGTGTATTGTGCATTAGTTATAGATGAAATGGCTATAATGCAACATGTAGAATGTGATGGAACAAATTACCATGGCTATGTAAATATTGGCGATTCTATTTGTAATGAAAGCATGGAAAAAGCTAAAGAGTCTAGTTTTTTAGTAGTTGCTGTTAATGAGGCATGGAAAATTCCTGTTGGCTATTTTTTAATCAACCATATTAATAGTTTACAGAAAGCAGAATTAGTTAATCGTTGTATACCCCTTCTAAGTAAAACTGGAGTAACAATTGTCTCTCTTACATTTGATGGATGTTGTGTTTTGGATGTTGACAATTTGAATACCAGTTTTAAAGTTGATGGCGTTGTCAAAACCATATCAATAATTCCAGATCCAGCTCATATGGAAAAGTTAACCAGAAATGCTTTCGGTGAAAAACGTCGATTTATTGATATAAATGGGGGTGTCATTGATTTTGAATACATCAATAAGCTTTTAATCTTGCAAGAAGATGAAGGTTGCCATTTAGCATATAAGCTTAAAAAAACAGCATGTTTTTTACTCAAGACAAAAAATGAAGGTGAAGTTAGCGAGCGATCCAACTTTTAAGTTGATCTGTGTCTGAAGCTCTTAAGTTTTGTAGAGATAGGTAATTTAAAACTTTATTTACAATATTTTGTTTTAAATTTCAGGTACGATTTTGTGAAAAGTATATCCTACAATTTAAAAAAATATATCAACGAACTGTATACATATATAGTTGCAATATTATACTATAATAATAATAAAAACTTTATTTTATTAATTCATTATTATTTATTATTATTATTATTATTGTTAATACAAATATAATATTATTTAATTAAATACCCAATAACACACAAAAATACGTATCTACTTAATATTAGTGCGATTTTTGGCACTGAATTTCTCCGACAACTTATTTAATTCTGAAGAGTAATCTGTTAGTTTTCAACTTTAAACAAGCATCAAGGATATTATCATTCAGTTAATTTCTTAATTTATTCTTGATGAAGTTCATGTTTAAAAATGTTTACTCACAAATGTAAGTATATCCAAAAATGGTCAAAATTCCGAATACGGCCATTTTTAATAGGCTGAAACTTTTGTAAAAAAAATTACAAAAAAATGTTGTATTCTACTGAATAATGATAGTCGAGTTTAATAAATAGAACGCACACATATTGATTGTATATAAAATAAAACAAATTGTACTATAATATTAATAAATAACAATGAAAACATTCCTGACCCTAATCTAACCTACGTAGTTAATAAGTGGAAAATAATAAAAATAGATACTCGAAAATGTTTAGGTACACACTTGGTTTAATTTAAGAGTAGACCATATTGTACTGTTATATTATAAGTATATTGTTTATGTATATGCTAATGTGATCACACCTATGTACTTATCTATCATTTTATCGAAATTGACGAAACATTCAGAACACTCGTGCATACTAGGTTGCAACGCATAATATGATAACAAAACGCTTGAACTATAGAGTATAATATGACGTATTATTATTTCGTCCGTGAATACCTAATCAGTTCGATCGATAGGCGTAGGCGGTCGTATCTATTATTACTCGCCTAGTAGGTATTAGCCTCATAATATAAAATACTTTTATATTATTATATTAACAACCAGTTGCCGCGGCAGACATACGGAGATAGAGACGTAAACCATTTAATTTCAACGAAAATGGACAAATGGGTAGGAAAAGTCGCCGTGGTCACGGGTGCGTCTTCAGGAATCGGAGAGGCAACTTGCAGGCGACTGGTTGACAGCGGAATGATTGTCGTCGGCTTTGCCAGGAGAGAAGACAGACTCGAGGTGAGTAAATTTCGGGGTGTATTAACCATTAGGTATCGTTTTTCTCACGATAAAATGATTTCTCGAAATATTATAAGTTTATTATTTGTATTAGTTTTTAAATAATAAAGTAGTATAAAACTAAAGTTGAAAATATTTTTAAAATATATTGACATAAATAGAATTTAAGAAGTCTAAAAATTATAGTAATATGTTTTATGTTAAAATAACCTAAGTATTTAAAATTTATTTTTCTTGAGTTCTTGGCTGGTGAACTCATTGATTATACAATCATAATTGATTTGCCATGGATTCATAAACCTCAATTTTTCATGAGTCAAGACTAGTGTTCGCTTCTAAAGTTCTAAAAAATATAAAAATGAATGCTACAAATTTAAAAAATGTTTAAGTTTAACATTAAATTTGAATAATGTTAAACGCTAAATTATTTATAAGGTTTAAACTGTTCATAACGTTAAATTGTATGCACGTTCAGATTTTTATAACGTTAAACATAAAAATTCAATAACGCCTAAATTTCTTATAAACGTGAACAGTATTATTTTTTTTTAAATTAATCCCTGGACTTACAACTATCTAATTGCAACACAGACTGACTATTAGAGTAGGTACATATGTATCAGTTTCTACAAGCTACACAAAAGTGCTGTCAACAAAATATATAAAAATAATACTATTAACATAAATAGGTGGGTTTATAAGTCTTTGGAGGGACAGAAGGATTAAACATTTATACTTAATAACATGTTACTTCTTTTTTGAATACCTACAAATTTACTAATATTTAGATAGTGCACTGCAATAATAAATCTCTGATTCAAAACATAAACATTTAATTCAAAAGAACATCGTATTTAGTTATTAGAAAAAAAATTATTATACGTTAAGTTCCGAGCCCTAATAAAAACCATTTTTCAGGGTTCAATCTTAAATATACGAATATACAATTATTGGGTTAATACTTTATTTTATTTTTAAAATACTATATTTTTTTTAAATCAATATAAATTAATACGGTTTATCCTTACCTACCTTTATATGGTAATAATAACAAACAAAATAATAAAATTACAATTAGACATTAGACATTAAAGACTTTTTTATTTTTTATTTTTGTCTATTTTGTTCGAATATTTTTTATTTTTCAAAATATGTACTTGCTGGTTTTATGTTTTGTAATAAATATCGAATCACCCTCATAATATTATATATGGTACTCTGAGTATAAGGAACCCTACTTTTTCACCTCAACCACTAGATTCGGCACTGCCTATATATTTAGTTATAGGTCAAATCACCTTAGTAAATAATTTTCGATTATTACTGTAAATCGGAAACGCTTTTAATCGCCACGATTATCAAATGGCTTTTGAATCCTGCAGGAGTTACGAAAAGAGTTGATCGGAAAACCGGGTGAATTTCATTACTACAAAGTTGATTTGTGTTCGGAACAAAACATCCAAGAAGCTTTCTCATGGGTAAAGAGCACGTTGAAATCGGTCGACGTATTAGTAAACAACGCTGGAGTTTTGAAAAGTAGTGATGTCTTAGGTAAGTAACCAGTAAGTAATAGTAAAATAAATTACTTCAATAACAATAATATCATAAAATATACTTAGTAATATAGACTGACTGTTAGACCGTCTTAGCTCAGATTCCTACTTCGTATTGAATGATGTGTATAATATCATTAAATTTAAATTTAACACATACATTTAATTGACCCATTCGGCCATGCGACACCTAATTTAAAGCACAACGCAACCAACTCACCTACCTTTTTTTAAATTGTATCTCTGTGTTCACTTTTTAAGGAATTAGCTATTTATTTTGCTAGTATGGTAGCAGAAAACAACTTCGAGTGTGGTTTCTGGCAGCAAATCGGATGTAGTTGTTACCTACTCTTAGGGAGTCAAATTAAAACCATTTTTCAGTAGTTGAATAATCAAGGGAAAAAAATCGAATAAGTAGATGTCGCTCTGCTATACTGTTGGTTATAAATGGGTCACTGCAATAGATGGTGTTAAATTTGAATTCAATGATATAAAATCATTGTATACGAAAAACGATTCTGAGCGAGGGCCGTCTGCCTATAATATTACTAAGTAATTTAGTATATTTGATGATGTTATAGTGATTGAAATAATTTATTTTACTATTAAGGGGATCGGTGGCGGTGACGACTGTCTTTGTCTAACACACGCGCAACATAAGAATTCAGAGGTGTTTTTTGGCAAATGTATTGATTGATAAAGTGGAGCGATAAGAATTCTGAAAACAGATTTGAATTTGTCGTCAAGTCTACATGAGATCGGCCAGTCTACATTTTTATTTTAGATTCTGAGTGAAACGATAAAAATAAAATAAAAAATAAAAATAAAAAAACATGCATCGTTTCACACAGAATCTAAAATCAAAAATATAGACTGACCGATCTCAAGTAGACTTGACGACAAATTCAAATCTGTTTTCAGAATTCTTATCGTTTCACTTTATCAATCGGTACGTTTGCCAAAAAGGCAAAAAACACCTCTGAATTCTTATGTAACGCGTCTGTTAGACAAAGGCAGTCGTCGCGCGTCGCCGCCACCGATCCCCTTAAGTATTAGTAGTATGGTAGATTCATTTTTGCTAAAAAATTACAATTGAAAAGTTTTTGGGTAAATAAAATTTAATACTGTACTCTCAAAGTTTCAAGTAGGTACCCGCGAATAATACTTTTAAATTACAACAAAATAACTTAATATCATTAGCCTTGTGTTAAATTTTCAAACCTTTCGACATGAAAAATAAAATTTTATTGGCATTTATAGAATAAGAAAACTAAAAAAATTGAAAATGTCTAAAAATGGCTTTAAACAAGTTAAAATATTTTTAAAAATGTATAAAATATATGAATTGATAAAATAAACATATTATTTAAATTTCAAGTATACCTAAAGTAATTCATTTTTGAAAAACAACAAAATAAAAAAATCGCCACTTGAGAAATCGAGTGAATATCCAATGTTGTAAATAGTTTTAATTTAATCGCTCATGAAAATGTAATTTGAGTTTCTAGTAGACATTTTTATTGATAAAGGCAGACAAACTTTAGTGGAATTGTGTATTGCATTTGCAAATCTTAGGTATAAAAAGAAACATTTTTATAATTTTCCAACACAAAATAATTTGGCAAAATTTCCCAATTTGTACGCATTTTGTTAAAATTCGAAGTTCAGAGGTTCATAAAAATTATTGTGGATTCACGCTCAACTTTTTTTTTTATTTCCACTAACAACAATGTACGAGAATTTACGTATATTTTCAATTTTTTTTTAAAAGAACTATTTACATTTGAAAATTTCATGTCTATTAATAGCTGAACACGAGTCAAAATATTTTAAAACATTTTTATGTAATTTTTGTATTAATATGTATATTATTTTTAAAAAACTTATCGCTTGTCTATATTTTACAATATTTATCTATAAATTTTAACTGTTTTGTTTGTATCTTTATAAATATACAAGTCAATAACATTAATATTTGATAGGTGGTTAGTGCTAATGGTGACTGTCTACATAATTTATTAGTTACCTATTGTTACAATTTATTCATGTTATTAAGTTTTATACCTACTTATCAGGAAACCCACAAGACTGGAAACTGATGTTTGACACCAACGTGTTAGGACCTAGCATTTGCAGTAAAGAAGCCGTGAATATCATGAAGGAGTTGAAAATCAACGGTCATATAGTAAATATAAATAGGTAAAAACTTTTAGATTCCGAGGGGAGAGAGGAATATGTATTACTTTACAATGTGTGTGTGTTTTGTTTTTGTTTGTCTCACACCACATTTTAAAACAATAATAATGCTTCGACTTCTAAATTATTATGTTTTGTTTCAGTGACGGTGGCCATTATCCACCAACGTTAATGTCCAACGTGTCTGTCTACTGTGCAACCAAGTTTAGTGGCGTTTCAATAACTGAGAGCTTACGAGAACTTTTGGCCTTACACAACCTACCAATCAGAGTCACTGTAATTAATTAATTTTTGAAAAAATAAGAAAATGTATTATACTGAATTATTTAAACCATTAAATTATTAAGTATTATCATAAAATGTTTTGAATTATTGAAACAATACAGTTGAATTCTAGATCAAATTTTAAAATTATAATTATTTTTAATTTTCAGAGTATCAGTCCGGGATTAGTAAATACCGAAATGGTTGAAAATCATGCTTCCGGTGCACCAGTATTGAAACCTTCAAATATAGCTGATGCAATTGTATACGCTTTGGCCACACCACAATACGTTAACGTAAATTTATATGAATTAAAATTAAAATTATAATATAATATGGTTGAAAACTAAAAGTTGAAATTCTATAAGAGTTGTTAATACCTAGTTACAACATATAACTTATAACGATTTCACGAACTTTCTGAACATAGAAAATATTTACGTTGTCATGTTTGTTTGAATAATTTACTACTAGTTTCAAGTTAATAAGTATTTGTGTATAATTTTTTTACAGATTTCTGAAATTATTATTCGGCCAACAAGCGAGACAATGTTACCGTTTATTAAGGACGCGTGTGAAGAATTAAATATTAAATTGTAGTTATTCAAGACGCATATTCTCTAGTTGATATATTTAATGAATGCGGTGTGTTTTATGTAGTTGGTGTATTTTTGATTATTTTTGAATTGTATTAAATGATTAAGTTTGTAGTCATTTTTCACTACGTATCTAGCTACCTAATATCTACGATTAAGTAATAACTATTTTTAGATACATTCAATTAAATAAAAAAGCGGGTAAGTGGATGTCACTCTGCTGTAAATTTGGTGCCTACAAGGTCGCTGTGATGGATCGTATTAAATTTGAATTCAATTATACAATACGAGTATCATTGTATACGAAAAACGATTCTGAGCGGAGTCGGTATGTCAGTCTAAAATATTTTATATTGTTATTTTTTATTTATTAATAAGGTACCTGGTAAGTTTAATTATTATAGTTCTTAAATTATCGGTGGTTTTGGATAAATATTGTATATAGCTACTTCTGTAAACTTGGGCTGTTTTGGAACGAATTACAACAGAATGACTAAAAATATTATTCTTGTATTAATATGTAATTTTGTCTACATTTGAACGTAAAATAACTATAAAAACAGCTGTGTTTATTTTTATTTTTAAATTTTTTGGTTACAGAATTAGTTTCTTGCGTAGAACCTTGTATTACATATTGTCACGCTCTTTGACCCAATAAATAAAATTGTACTGACATTTGAAGAAAAAGAAACTAAAAACATATGAAAATTGAAAATGTTCGTCGACAGCTTAAAACGAGTCAAAATATTTTGAAAATTTTATCAAGTAAATGCATTGGTAATATAAAAATATGATGTGAATGTCAAGTACCTATACAGTTATTCATTTTTGAATTTTATTACAATCAAATAAGAACATCTGTGCATGAGCAATTGAATAAATATCCAATATTTAAAATATTTCAACTTCAAACGCTCATAAAAATTTAATTTGACTTTCCGGTAGAAATTTGTTTTTCGATAAATTACAAACTTTTAAGGAATTTTGTACCTACTAAATTTTTTAATCTTAGATATTAAATGAAAAATATTTATTCATTTCTAACTTAAAATAGTTTGCAAGTTTTCGTGTTTTTTTATGTATTTTGTCGAAATTTTAAGTTCAGACGCTCATATAAAATTATTGCCGACTTACGCTCAACTTTTTTTGACTTCCACCAACGAAAACAAATGAGGAACTTTATATTATATTTTCAAGTTTATTTACATTTTTTATAGACATTAATAGAAGAAAAACTAACAGAAATCGAACATTTCTTATGCCTATAAATAGTTCAACACGAACCGAAATAATTTGAAAATGTTAAGGTGTGTAAGAAATGGTATCACAAATATTCAATGGATATTTCATGTATCTACCCTCCGTACATTTTAGGGTACAAAACATTGTAGCAATGTATGATTTTGTAGTTGCAATGCTTAACATCGCACCTCAACGTTATCAAAACATCATATTTAAAGGTTTAGTTTTATAAATATTTTAATTTTGTACATGAACGTCCGAGAAAAGTTAACATATAATAATATTTCAACTTCTTTGAAACAAGTCTCTGTTGAATTACAACAACCTAATGATGTGATTAAAAACTATTTATATTTATAATAATAATATATATCTAAGTACACAATTATGAGTAATAATAAACTAATTCACCTATTATTTAAAAATAGACCAATTAAGCGTGGCAAAGTGGTATTTTTATATTTTTTATTTCTATCTCCTCGCCGCTTCAGCAACTACTAACCTAACCCACCCACCAGTCATCACACAAAACATTTTTAACATCATCGTATTTTCAACTGCAATAAACTTTTAAACACAAGCCCGCAATTACTAATGTAAATGGTTTCTGCCCTATCCGTTTGGTCATCAAACATTTTTTTTGGTTTTATTATTGTTAGATATTTTTGTTGAGCTACTGTATAGTATTAATAGAACCTATAAACTTTGACTGCACAAAGTTTAAAAAAGGTAAGTGAAATAATATATTTTAAAAGCATTTTTTCTATAGACTTCATATGGTAACTCATATGGTTACTAGGTAACTGCGTATGTATAAAAATGCCAAGCCATGCACAGTTTTAATTTAAGTTTAGGCTAACAATACCAACCTATACACATTAAGAGCACTTTACCTATGAATTTGTTGTCTACTTGTCTCGTATACGTGCAACATGGCAAGTTTTCATTCACTAGTTTCAAAATCTATAATACAAAATTAGGCAAAGAGTTAATATTCGACATTTCAGTGGGCCCTAATGATTTCAGATCATATATAAAATGTAATGGAATACTACACTTAGATATTTTACATAGTATAGCTCCAGTATTAGGTTTGAAAAATGAGAATATGATATTTTTCGTTCGAGTTATTAATTTAAAAACAATTAATTCTATAAAATTAATATGTAATATAGCTCAAGGATCATCCAGCACTCATCTTTAGTCATTCGATTTACGAGTTCTTGCCTAGTGAAATTACAAGATTTAAAGTAATTCAGTCACCACCGAATTTAATAAATTACAAATTGAATATAACAAATATTGACTCAATAACTGTTCAGCTAGTTGATCCAGATCATAATCTGATTGATAATTTCGGTGAGACATTGACAATCGTTCTACAAATTAAACTTTACAGGTCTTGAGATAGGATCAAAATTCAAAACAAACCCATTAATTCAAATCAGTTCAACTAGTCATAAGGCTAAAGTGCTACCAGCAACATCTAATAAAGTTAAAAAATTGACAGAGAAAAATAAAAAATGAAAGGCAAAATGCCTGTAAGTGATATTTGAGCTAACATTATCTTGCCTATATATTGTCAGTTAATGCCTAGGCATTGACAATATCGACTATTAATGTTAGGAATTTATAATATTAGCTAGGAATTTACGTTATTAACTAATTTACATCATTGGTGATAACATAGACATATTCATTTTTCTCACCCTTCAAAGAATCACCAATTAACTGATTTACAAAAAAGCTTGGACTTAAAAATAAAAACTATCGGGTGGGTGAATAAGTAACACAAGATGGAACTGCCGGTATAAAAACTGCGAAGCTTTGAAACAATGTTTCAAAAGTACCTATTCTTAGTGTACCTACTTAAAAAAGAAATTGAAATGTAAGAGCACTTTACCTATGAATTTGTTGTCTACTTGTCTCGTATACGTGCAACATGGCAAGTTTTCATTCACTAGTTTCAAAATCTATAATACAAAATTAGGCAAAGAGTTAATATTCGACATTTCAGTGGGCCCTAATGATTTCAGATCATATATAAAATGTAATGGAATACTACACTTAGATATTTTACATAGTATAGCTCCAGTATTAGGTTTGAAAAATGAGAATATGAAATTTTTCGTTCGAGTTATTAATTTAAAAACAATTAATTCTATAAAATTAATATGTAATATAGCTCAAGGATCATCCAGCACTCATCTTTAGTCATTCGATTTACGAGTTCTTGCCTAGTGAAATTACAAGATTTAAAGTAATTCAGTCACCACCGAATTTAATAAATTACAAATTGAATATAACAAATATTGACTCAATAACTGTTCAGCTAGTTGATCCAGATCATAATCTGATTGATAATTTCGGTGAGACATTGACAATCGTTCTACAAATTAAACTTTACAGGTCTTGAGATAGGATCAAAATTCAAAACAAACCCATTAATTCAAATCAGTTCAACTAGTCATAAGGCTAAAGTGCTACCAGCAACATCTAATAAAGTTAAAAAATTGACAGAGAAAAATAAAAAATGAAAGGCAAAATGCCTGTAAGTGATATTTGAGCTAACATTATCTTGCCTATATATTGTCAGTTAATGCCTAGGCATTGACAATATCGACTATTAATGTTAGGAATTTATAATATTAGCTAGGAATTTACGTTATTAACTAATTTACATCATTTGTGATAACATAGACATATTCATTTTTCTCACCCTTCAAAGAATCACCAATTAACTGATTTACAAAAAAGCTTGGACTTAAAAATAAAAACTATCGGGTGGGTGAATAAGTAACACAAGATGGAACTGCCGGTATAAAAACTGCGAAGCTTTGAAACAATGTTTTAAAAGTACCTATTCTTAGTGTACTTAAAAAAGAAATTGAAATGAAGACGATACAGACGTCAATGAAGCAATAGGTATAATTGTATAATGTACAAGGACCATTTGTAATATTTCTTATTATTTATGTATAACTTAAATCATTATTTTTATTTTTTAGGAATACTCTCAAGAATTACAGAAGGATAATTTGTTGTAGTTTTATTTATCGTGGCCCATGTATTGTGTTCCATTAATGTTCTAAGCAATATGATACAGGATAAAAATACCACATTAGGAAAATCAGCTTAATTAATTAACAGTATAATAAAATCAGTTGAAGACTCTCGATCTTCTGAAAGTTTTTCTAGTAGGTACGTGGACATTCATATAAACATTTGCCAAAGTACACGGTACCATTTCAATAATATTGATCAATTTCAATTTCAATCATTTCAAGCAAAAGGTCATTTTTACTAAAATGTATTAATTTTTTTATTTGACTAACATTATGATCGAATTTCTTATTGTTTCTTTCATTTAGAGCCGAAAAGGAAAAGACAAAAACCTAGTCATTTGGTTCAGTTTTTAGTAAGCACGACTACTGGTGCAACGTCTAAAGCAGTGGATATAGGAATTAGGTACTCTACTCTAGCTGAAGATTATTTTAGAATTAATATATATTTTAAAGTACTTAACTTTAATATTATAAATTTATAAAACTAAATTATGATAATTTAGTTTTATACATTTATGGAAGTAGGTACACAGTTTATTTGATTTTATAAATATTCAGTAGGAACTAAATTAATGTATAAAATTATAAATAAAATGTTTACTTTATATTAGTTACTGGTCTTAAATTAAAAAAAGTTTAAGGTCAGAAATGATGATTGCTAAGAACTTCTAGTTGAACCTGAAAGATACGATATTGAAGATATTAAAAAGAATATTTCGACTCAAGTATTTCCTAATTTTTATAAAATGATTCAAAATACTTTAACGTTACCAATTAGTTCTGCTTCGTGCGAAAGAAGTTTTTCTGTTATGAGGAAAATAAAAACATGGTTAAGGTCACCTATACAACAAAAAATCGGGTAAGTGAATGTCGCTGTGCTGTACATTAGGTGCCTAGGTTACTGTAATGGATGGTATTAAATTTGAATTCAGTGATATTAAATCATTGAATACGAAAAACGTTTCTGAGCGGAGACGGCAAGTGAGTTTAGGATATTTTTTATTGTTACTACTTATTATTAATATGGTAGCTGGTAAGTTGAATTAATATTATTCTAAAATTATCAGTGATGCTGGAAAAATATTAAATATACCTATGCAAAATTTGGATGTTTTGGAACCGAATTAGGTACAACAAAATGAACCTAACCATTATTCTTTGTCTTAATATGCAATATATTATCCAAATTTTAACTTAAAATGTTTGTAAAAAATAAATGTACCTATTCATATATTTTTTGGGTTTTATGGATTATCAGTATTTTGTGACTTTTTGGCGTTTAGTGTTTACTGTGTGATTGTGTTAACTATTTGGTAATATTTATATTTATTATTTAATATTATAGTGCCGTTAAATTATAATACGAAATATTGTTATAATTTATCGTTTATTTTATTCTTCACAATATTGGGCATTTCATAATTTTTTCTATTAAAAAATGCCAAGTCAGCGAAGTGGCTGTGAAAATATAAAACGCAAAGCTTGTAAAGAAGCCGAACTAGTAAAAATTAAAAGCCAATGTTCAATAAAAAACTATTTTTCGTCAAACATATTACATTTTCAAGACTAAGTAATCTTTAAGTATATTTAATAGATGGGTACTAGAAACTAGATGATAGGTATATTATTGTATTTGACATTTTATTAATAATTATTAATGCAAGAAATAAATGACTCATATTATATTTTTGTTAACAGCTAATAACAGTTTCTATAACTGATAAATCAAAGAAAAGTGAATACAAAAATGTACATATTGATGATGGTATGTACTTTTAGTGGCTTTTTAATTATATTGTATATTTATTAATTATATAATTTATTTAATTTTTAGTTAATATGGTAAATGTATATGATCCTGTTACTCCATTACCAAAAGATCGCTTAGAGTTTCAAAATCGAATTTTGAAAGGACGATACAAGCCTGTATTAGATCTTTATCCACGGTCAATTCAAAACTCTAAAAGAAGGTCATTTCAGAAGAATTGGTACGATATTTTTGATTGGTTGGAGTATAGTGATGCTTCTGACACAGCATTTTGTTTTCCATGTCGTTGCTTTAAAGGTAATGAAATAAATAGCAGCTACAGTGATACAACATTTAGCAAAAATGGTTTTAAATCTTGGTATCGAGCTATTGATGCATTTAAAAAACACCAATCGTCTAAATGTCACTTAAACAGTGTAAAAGCATTAAATGATTTTATTAATTTAAAATCAATTGACTGTGTACTTGATAAGAATCGTCTCGAAGAAATAAGTAGAAAAGAAAAAGATCGTTTAAAAAACAGAGAATTTATGAAACGTGTCATAGATATTATTATTTGTTTAGGAAAGAGTGGTAGGCCATTTCGTGGTCATGATGAAAAATCTGATAGTTGTAATCAAGGACTTTTTAAGGAATTAGTAATATTACTGACAAAATATGATATTGTTCTTCAAAACCATTTTCAAGATGTTCCAAAAAATGCTTTATACACAAGCAATCGAATACAAAATGATTTAATAACATCAATTAAAAATGTTATTTTACAAAATATAAAAACAGTTTAAAAAAATCATTTATATCAATACTAGCTGATGAGACGACAGATGTTGGACACTCTGAACAATTGTCAATTGTTTTTAGATAATTTGATGATGAAAAAAATAGACCAGTGGAAACTTACATTGCATTGAAACAAATGAAATCTGTTACAGCTCAGGCTATTTTTGACGTTCTTCAAGAAGTACTTACGTATACTTATGGGAAAAGATTGGCATTCAGTTTTATCAGTATGTTTTGATGATGCTTCTACTATGGCTGGTAAAATAGGAGGTGTGCAAACAAAATGTAAGGAACAATATTCAAGCATTAAATATGTTCACTGTTATGCACATTGTCTAAACTTAGCTCTTGTTGATTCAGTATGTGATAAATCAAAAAATTCCAATAGAAACAAATTGGTATTCAATTTTTTTGGAACCATACAGTTTATTTATAATTTCATTGAAAGTAGTGCAATGAGGCATGCAATTTTGGAAAAAATATCTAAAGATGTAGGAATTAAGTTACTTACATTAAAGTCATGTTCAATTACTCGCTGGGTGTGTCGAGCAGAAGCAGTCAAATCAGTACTGAATAATTATGAAGTTTTGCTTTTAGCCATAGAAGAAATCTGTGAAAGTAGTAGTGTTCTAGAAATGTGTGCTAAAGGCATGGGATTAAAATACCAATTAAAAAACTTTGACTTTATTTTTGGGCTGTATTTATTGAATCCCATATTAAATTCAATATTAAAAACAAGTTCTCTATTACAGTCACCAAACATGGATCTTGTATTAGCAATAAATAGTGTACAGTCTTTAGTTCAAAACTTGGAAGCTATGAGGAATAATGATCTGTAGCAGGAATGATTCGTCTAGATTCTACATCTGAGATGATTTCAATTTTATCAAAATTTGCTTATGTCCCAGAAGAGATATTATAGTGTCTGAGATAAATTTTTAAAATATTTACCCGCTACCGATGGTAAACCGAATAGTAACACTGATAATGAATCAATACATGAATGGCTAGATTATATGAAAGCAAAAAATTACATAAAAACATTTAACGGATTTTTTACTGTACTGAAATTATTCAGTGTAATACCACTTACAACTTGTTCTTGTGAACGGGTATTTTCTAAATTAACTATAGTAAAAAATAAGTTAAGGAGTACTATACATCAAGACCGACTTAATAGTTTATTATTAATGTTTACTGAACAAAAATTAACATCTAATATTAAAATTGACATGGTCATTGATAAATTCAAAAGTATGGGAAAAAGGAGAATTTATTTATAATTATTTAAATACCAAATGTAATATATACAATATATGTAATATAATATTATGTGTGTACAATTTTTTGTTCATTAAACAAAGTTATTTCTTTTTAATTTTAGGTATTGTGTTTTCTTCTTTTTCTTCATAATATTGTATTTATATCATTTTTAATTTTAAAAATATATGTCTAGAAATTAGCTTATTAATGTTGAGTGTACGTACAACTTGATTTTATTTACTCAGTTTTTAATTTACAATTATAGTATAAATGAATGTGTTTAAAAAAAAATATATATAGCCATTAAGGGCACTGTCCAAGTATAGGGGCATTATTTGTTAGCTAGGCTCGACCGGAAATTGAAGTCTGCGCACACCTATGAATACAATCATTATCAGATGGAATTTCTACAATTGATAACTCATTACAAATTTCAGACATTTAGACGAGGACTCATTATTGAAAATTAATACACTAAAATATAATAAAACATATTTTGGAATGATGCGAATATATAAACAAAAAAGAGAATTGCTTCTTTGTATTATACACTGAAAATCAAGTTTGGAAAAATTGTATTTATACATAATGCAATAACACGCATCTGTCATACATTTTGATAGATAATATACAATTATTTAATGTAGGTAACATTAAATTATGAGTAAAATTAATATTGTTAATAAATACATATTACGTGTACCTATGGGCTTATAAATTTGAATATAATTTGTCATATAGGTACATTGTATACTATAGTATACGACAGTTCATTCATGGTGAATTAAAATTATATGTTGCAATTACTATATTGTTTATATATTTAATCTATAGTGTAATATAAGCCAAAAAATTTATGAGTGGCTAATTATATTAAGTAGATAAGAGTTAGATCATTTTTGAAATTTTGATGAATTTTGACTACATTTTAACATTAAATTAATATTCAAAATAATTGTGTTTAGGTATCTTCAATATTAATATTATTAACTTCCTATTAAAAAACCTATGAGGAATCTTCCATTAAAAAAGTTTTTAATGAGAATAATTTTTAAAAAATGTATAAAGGCTATAAATTTCCATTTATGGAAATTGCTGAAATAAATGATGGGTGAACATTTCATGGGTCTAAGAGTATTAGATTAGAGTTATGCCAAACATATAAAATCGGTTTTTCAAAAATTGGTTTGGCGTTTGTCCAGACGCTTTTTAAAACTACAGGACATTTTCCATTTCGACCTCTCAAAAGTACCAACTAGATTTACTCTTCTATCAGAAAATATACTGATGTCAAAAATCTGAGCATTTTTGCTACAACGAGTGTCGAAAAGACAAAAAAACACATATTAGTATAAATTAAATGTATAAATTAAATCCGCTCAGAAACTTAAATAAATTGTTGATAATATATTTGAATCGGGACATTTTTTTTTAAACTTGACTTAAATGAAAAAATGATTTGATATTATTGATAGAATAAATGTATTTAAGGATAATTAGTTACAAATTAGAAGTTATCTTTTTTAGGATGGAGCGGTAAATTGTTAAATCCTTCTTGAATACTTGATACCTGACTAAATCTGTTTTTATCTTTTTAACCTAACACTTCTTAGTTCTTTACTCTTTAGATTGAATAAGTTATTTAAACAATCAACAAAAAACTCTGATGCTAGCAACATTTTTTAAACTTTCACAGATGGAAGGAATACCAATCATACAATTTTATCCAAAAAGATACTATGATGTAGTCATTCTGCTAACAAATTATGATTTTAACTTAATTGTATGGAAAATAGTTGTTTGGCTAGGTTTATTTTTTTTTTAATCATGGAGATCACATGGTTGTGTTTGATGATCATGAGTTTCAAATCATACTAGAAGAGGAAATTGTGACAAGTTGGCCTTCATAATAAACATTTGATTATATTAACAACATAATTTTTATTATTTTTGATTCTTATCCAATTTTTAATTGTTTGAGTTTTTATACACACCAATTACTCAATATAATGTTCACATAAAATTCACAATCATGTTTACATATAATATATGTAACAAAATAATAAATATAAATATATTATTAATCTTCAGTTTATTCTTTAAAATAGGATAACAAAGATTGCCATGAAGATTTTTTTTGCGGTTGTGTGGAAGATTCTATACAAGCACAAATACATTTATCCGAAATGTGAACATTAAAAGTAACAATAAAATTAAAAATCATTAAGTCTGTCATCTGTTCTCATTTTTTCATAAGAATATAACAAATAAAATCATTGATACATGCGCAATGCACTGATTTAAGTATACAGTCCAAACATTTTTAATTGATTAATAAATGTATTCTCAGTGTGTATATAATAGTTCCTTATCCACTAACTTTATGAATTCCAATCTGATTACATTAAAATATAAATAATAGATTACCACCAAAATGTTCATAATATATAGCACATTATTATTATTGAGTACATTTTTACAATCCCATAAAATGGAATTCTGATGGATAACAAACAATAGTATTTACAGGAAGAAAATGAGAAAATTTTTTTAAGGAAAATAGACAAAAATCCCTATATTATTGCAGTAGCGTTTAATCACACTTGAAAAAATAAAACAAAATAGAAAAGATTAAGTAGAAGTCATCACAACATCTACGACGATAACACCAATATCATATATATGTCCACTTAAGAATTAAAAGGTCACTAACCAGCAATTTTAATTTTTAAGCAACTCAGTGCTACTAAAATTATAGTTGGTACATCATTTGATTATTATTGTTATTGAATGACCCTGAAATTAGATTTAAAAATATTGAACATTGGACATATTGCGATATTAAATACAATAGCCGTGCTTTCGAGATTAATTAGGATAAATATATAGTTTTATTTAGAGATAATATTTAAAGATAATTGATAAACATAAATGTTCTATTATTATAGTATAATATGCACTCATGTATATATACTTAAACCTGATTACATTATCTCGAAAATACGTCTAGTGTCTACAAACAACTTACAACTCTAGCACTGAATACACAAAAGCTTCATTATAAGCCCCACACATGTTGAGAAAAAGGATTAGACAAAAATTTAAGTCACCTAGGGCTTAAAAACAACAAAAACACTTAATATATATTATTACAGTATATGAATATTATAAATCTAATAAATTTTATTAGCAAACACACTTACATGAATATAGCACTGATACACTAATCGCGATAATTGACAATCTACTATAACGATTAACTATACTATAACAAGCTTGCCTTAATATAAATATTAATTTTATTTTCTTATTTTTAAGTGCTAAGGTGTGATTATTACAAGATGAAGATTATTTTTGTTTCAAATAAATTAGTGTTACATTGGCATTTGTATAATATTCAATAATAAGATGCTTAAGAACAGTGATTTCAGCAAATTAATTTTGTCCATGAGTTACATTATTTTGTCAAATTTATAATATCAAGGCTGTATATTATGAATACGTCAATTAAAACAATGGTAAAAAAAATCTGATACATTAAATAAAATGATCTCATAAGTCAAAATAATAACTATTAAACATATATTTAAAATAAAAATAGTACTAATGATCATAATAATAAAACAGTTAATCCAATGCAATTAAACTGAATACTTTTACTAGAAAACACTATAGTGTATTCTTAGACACCATTTTTAGTCAACTCTTAATACATTGCACAAAGGATCCATGCCTGTTTTAAACAAATAAACAAATTTATGAGTAGCTTATATTCAAGTTGTAGAATAATATAACATAAGTTTCCACAGTGGAAATTCCTGTGATTTCCTTGCCATAGGAAAGGCAATAAATTTCAAGTTAGCACGTCTTTAAAATAATTTAATAATATTCTATTACAATAAATTGTAAAAAAGTAAAAAGGATTAGTTAAATACCAATATAGTTAACAAAATAATGATTATTGGTAAAAATTAACCAAAAGAAACAAAAGTATTTACATAAAATGCAATGAAACAAAATTTGAAAAAAATAAGGATAAAATAAAATACTATTAAAATGTACGAAAAATGAAATTGGTTTTGGGCGACATTAAAATTATTATTTCTATTTTAACGATTTAAAATTATTTGAGACTATTATTAATTAGACTAAACAAAAATAATACTATAATATTTCATAGATTTAGTAAAAATAATGCAATTGCTTCAAATACATAAGTAGCCATAAAATAGGTTATTATAGATATTCAAGAATATTGTTACATCAATATATATAATATCCGAATTCAGCTTTTTGTCCCTTTTCCCGTACACCCCTTATTCAATAATAAAATAAATACCAAAAGTTATAGAAAAGACAAAAACAATAATAAAAGAGCAAACTTAAAAATCACAACATTCAATTTTAATTATTTTGGACTTCAGATGATGAAATGTTATATAAATTTTAAAAGAATATATTTCTTAATTATAATACAGGTATCAATAAGAGATCTCATAATGTGTTTCAGAAATATTTAGTTTAGTCATATTAAGTACTAGAATTAGTTTTTTTTTTATTGAAAATATAATTAGATACCAAATTTAAGTAAAACAAGAAGCTATATTCTATTTTTGTATTTATGCAAACCACTATTTAAACAATAATATATTTTAATAACATCAGGAAATTTTATAAAAATGTTTTTGAAAATTGTGTTGAAACGCAATAAGTCCTTGAATAATTTACTATTAATTGAAAAGTGTTTGTCTAATTTCACACAAATTGTATTTAACGTTTATAAAAATCACCAATCACAAGTTAGTTGATAAAATATATATGATAGAATCTGTGTAAACTATACTCTTTTTATTTGAATATATGAGTAACCTTAGATGGCAGGCTTCTGCGAACAGCGGCAATGGAAGTTACTAATGCACATAGTAATGCGCTCACAGTTGTCACTTAATTATTCCAACCATCTAAGGCAGGGTGGTCCAACATTTTGTAATTGGGCCAATTTCCACATTTATAAACACTAGAGGCCACCAAAAAAAAAAATTATTTGTATTTTATTTTATAACAAACATATTATAATAATATAATACACAGTTATCACATTATAGTACTGCCACCGCCTTAGTTGTTTTTTTTTTTAAATTTATCCCACTCATGACACTAAAACTATTTTTTAAAAAGGCTGGGAGAGCTGCATTTGGCCCATAGACACCAACTTGGTCAACTCTGATATAAGGTAAAGCAATTTTTGGCAGCAGTTAATGGTCAAAAAAACTAATGCTGACAATGAAAATCAGTTAAATAGAGGGGTATGGTCTGACAGACCATAAAAAAAAATAATTTGTTGCCTGTGATTACTCCTATATGAGACAGAAAATACGTATACTATTATTATTAGGATAACCAAGTTAAAAATTATTAATTTATACAACGAATAAAAAAATTCAACTAAAGAAAAACATTTGTTATTTAACAAGTTGTCAGTGAATGGAATTTTAAGAATTGACACTTTCAACCATTGTATTTTTGATGATTTCTCCTAAATTTTCTGTTTCTAAATTGAAACTATCCGAAACCAATGTACTTGGAATATTTGGAATACCAAGTGAATCAGTATTTTCAATACTTTGTAAACTGTAAGGCTGCAATAAATCTGTAAATGTTTCGGGCTTATTTTCTATAATAGACAATCCTTTAGGTCTATCTTGCGACAAAGGCACAAACGCAGATGGAAATGGCTGATAAGGTTCATATAAAGCGTGCGAATTATTTAGCTGATAATTGTTCAGTGTACTACTTTCTGGGGCAATTTGATTATTATCATAAACAGGCAAAAATGAATGATAATTATAATCATTTAAATTGTGTTCATAGTGTTGTGGCTGATAGTATGGTTGTATGTGTCTGGAATCATGATAGGAAAAATTAGATATAAGTGGTGATGTCATAGCCAGCTTATTACAGTGCTCCTCTTCTTGTGCTTCTCTTTTTTTGATTTCAAGTCTCATTATGGTGTGAATGAAATGTTTTCGAACTCTTGTTGGATTGAATTCTATGCGACCAACAGAATTTCCACAACCATCTACTGTGCATCCACATGGGAAATTCATTCTATCGACCTAAGTTACAAAATATGATACAGTTAGATAACTTCATAATTAAATTTTATTATTTAAACTTAAATATAGTGTGGTGAAATAGCCAGTTAATTTCTCCCGTGCTTTTTAGACCAGTTTCATTACCATTAGAAATACACTGAACAAAAATAAAATACGGGTAGAAAATTTGTGGCTAGATTTCTCAATACAATTTTCTAATCTTATATTAATTTTGTGATGACAATAATAATACTTGTTTAAGACAAGATTTTTTGTTTGGTTCTTACTTGGCATGTTATGCCAGCTTGAAAACAAGCACATGTATCTGGGTCACAAAAACCACGACACAAACATCCACAGAATTCTCTTGATAGTCTTATGCTCTTACAGTCATCCTTTTCTGAAGAATCAATTTTGTCAACACCGGCTGCTTTCAATAAAGCACGTCTTTGTCGTGTAGGTACAGGCTATATATGAATAAAAATGTATTTTTTTTGTGAATCATACATAGTAAGATTAAATTACTTGTAAAAAACTTCCGTTACTATCGGAATCCATATCTGCATCAGATTCAGAGTAAACATCTGCTGCTCCTACATCGCTATCACTATCATCACTATTTGTACCAGAAACCTCGGATTGACTTAGTTGAATCAAGTTTCGACGTATTCTTCTCTGCTCTGCTATATACTCAGGTAGAGAAAAAACTCGTGTTGCACTATGAACTCGTGTCATGCCAAGAGTAGAACCACCCTAGCAAAAATAAGTTTCTTGATAAATATTTTTTAAATAATAAATACAACACAAGCTTATAATGAATAAACTATTTAATAGTATGATATTAAATGTATAATTAAAAATGTTTACCTGAGAAGGAACGCAAGTAAATCCTTGAACTCGTGGAAAATAAAAGACAGTTACATTTGCGAAATTTATATTTTTGCGTTTCTTCACTGTTGTAACATCAGATGACGGAACACCATAATTGAGGGGTTTGTTGCGTTTTAAAATGCCTTTAACAATTCCATAATTATTTTTAATGTCTAATGGTCCTGTATCTAGAATAGAATCTGAAAATTTTGGCTTCAACACTTCCATTGCTGACAAAAATTCATTTGAAGTTCTTTGTAAATCTTCAAAACTAGACTCATGGTTCAATGTGAAATCAGTTTTGTATGAAACACTTGATGTTGAAACTGCTATATCTAAGCTAGTACTATTCTTATCTTCTGCTAATTCAGATCCAAATCCAGAGTCGCTTCCATCATATCGATCTTGTATACATTCAACTTCTAAGTCATTTTGAATGCTAGTAAATCCACTGAATATTTTATTATCTTTTTTATTTGAGTACAGGTTAATGCTGTTAAGCAATTCATTTGTTTTGTCATCAACAGGCAGTTTAGTAGTACATAACTTTTTTACAGGAGAGTCAAAATAATAGCTATTACTTCTTTTGAAAGGCGTTAAATTGCTTATAGCATCTGTTTGCTCACTTAAAAAGCAAGTATAATCATTTGAGTATGTTGACATGCTTTGGCTATTTTGAGAAGTTTCGTCCTTACTAATTTCTTCAATTGAAAACCCTCGTTTTTTATTTGTTGAAAAAATATTATTTAAATCTGAATAAGATGATTCATTTGTACTTGAAAAAATTTGAGTTTCAATAGAGGGGATAAAAATTGAAGTTGAAGAGGGTGAACACAAACTCAAGTTATTATCATCACCATTGTAAGGCTTTATATTGTTATCAATGCTAGTTTTGTCATCAGAGTTAGTTTCAGATTTTATAGAAAATAACATACTTTGAACTCTACATTCTGAATCTGATGATTTTGGGGTATCTACAAGGCAATCGGATAAAGTTTTTGATACAGTAGAAATTTCTTCTTTATTAACTTGATCAATGTTTGCAACATTCTTATCCTTGATATCAACAAGACAATCATCACTATATTTTATACAGTGAGATTTTGAGTCGATATGTTCATTAGTTTGGGACAATAAAGATACTTCATCAGATTCCTTTGTTATTGAAAATTCCATTGCAATAGTTAAATACCTGCAAAAAAAAAATCACAATATTAAAAATAGTTTTTAAATATTTTAAATAAAATTACTAACAATTCTTTAAAACAGATTAATTATTAACTTTAATAATGAGTTTATTCATAACAAGTAGGTACCCAATGATAAATTTATAAAACAATTTAAAAAAACTAAATTGTGATTATTATATTATGAAGGAGCAGTTTGATAATTTTAGCAATATAAAGAGACGGTGTAACTGAGAGCACTATACACTGTTCAAAATAATATCATTACCCGGTGACGACCAGTTTTGGTCAGGCGGCGGTCAGACTCATTGTTAGACAATTTCTCCCTACCAAGTCAACGAGCGAGACCAGTGCTTTTTAACAAAGCTACGGCATGTGCACAACTTGGCAGCCTGATCTTATTTTGGATAGAGTAATTTTAAATGATAATAATTGAATCTGAGGACTTGACATTCATTTTTTATTAAATTATAATATTGTTGATATTCGGTAAGTCAAGTGCTCAATTTTAAGCTAAAAACAACTTGAATTCTTAGACTTAAACACTGCATTCAAAGGAAATGAAATTCTTAATTTGTAAGGATAATTAATGAATATTTTTACATTTAGTTAAAGAAGCATCTCTATTTTGTTTATTACTGTTTTTAATTGTATACTAGTATGTTCATATTTATTAATTATTATTCATAAAACACTACCTATTTGGATTTGATTTTAATTTTTATGTTTAGATTATTTATGTACAGGTGCTTGAGATTAAGAGAACTATATTACTATTCAATTGCATCCAAACACTTCTAAATTAATATGAAATTAAATTTATGGAAAATGAAAATTGAATTTTAATAAATTAAAAATTGTGGTAATTACCTAATACAAATAACAATACTATATTCATAAAAACAACTAGGAAAGTTGCTCTGCTGCATAGCAGTGATTGAGTTTCCCTAATTCGTCAACGAGTAGGTCACTATCATATGTTAAATTTGAATTCAATGATAAATCATTACACAAAAAATGATTCAGAGCAGAAACTATTTGTAAGCCTTTACTTCAAAGGATATTTTATTATATATTTGTATTGCTATTAGTAGATTATCTATTAGTCAAACAGCAGGTAACTACCTAATTGTTACTAAATATGCATTGCATATAATATAATATATTAATTAGTATAATATTATTTATTTCATATACCTTATTTTACAGTCTTATAAAATAACTATGTTAGCAACAGTTTCTATTTTGAATAATTTTAATAAATCTTTGTTACATACCAAGTATTATTAATATTAATTAGATAGTTGAGTGACAATATACAGTAGGTAGAAAGGATAAATTATATAACCCATAGACCACAATAATAAAATATTTCAGGAGCTACTAAAATGTTCAATTATTCGATAAAAATGATTTGAGGTTAACGTTATATTACTCACTAAAATAAAAAACCATAAAATAATATCTAAATCAACTGACAAAACTTGATAAACCTTAATATTAATATGCATTGGCTAAAAACTCTATCAACATTTTTTATGAAGCAAAATCTAATATTTTTATCCAACCACCCACAGCAATTTCCAAGTCATCTAAATTTAAGAAATTAAGCGATTGCTTCATATGATATATGAGTTTGGAGGCACTGTTAATATGAATCATATTATGCTACACACTGTCAATTTCCAAGCTGCTGATTATAGTATTTACAATTTTATCACAAAAAGAAAACACGCTTTTCACTATGTTATACAACTGCATTCATTAGGTCACTGAGAGAATGATTCTTGCAAACCAAACATTTTGGAAAGATATATGCATAGTAATGCAATTTGAAGAGCTAACAGACAGTACAGTCATAATTTCACTCAACACATAGCCACAATTCATGCTCTATAGTCTATACGAAGCCTCAACAGAGATCAAGGAAATATACAAAGCATCAGAAGACAATATGTATCTCCACATTGAAGCTAACTTTCTTCCATGCGAATTATTTAGTTCTTGTAAGCAATTACTGCCATCAACAGTGATTTCCAGGCTGTAGACCAGGGGTTAGGTTAGGTCCGCGATCACATTTGAAATTTGGCATGTATATTTTCTATTTCGATAAAATTTTAACGGCTAAGCCTCGGAAATATGATATAAGATAAATTAAATTACCTACTTAGAACAGGGGTCGACAACCTTTTTTGACGGAAGAGCCAAAAGTTACAATATGCAAAATTTTTCCAGATTTTAAAGAGCCACTAAAAATGTTTGTAATTTTTTAAATGTAATTTTATTTTTAAATTTTAATAGACATAATAATAAAATTAATTTTTAACAATACTTATAATACATTTATAATAAAAAAAAAACAAAGCATTGGCTTTGCATGTCTTTTAAAAGTTCTTTTAAATTTGGCTCATAACTTGTTTAAAGTTTCAAGCATGACTAGATTATTATTTGTTAGTTGACTTCTTACTTTATTTTTTATTGTATTCATGCAAGAGAACGCTTGCTCAAACGAAATGTTGACCCAAAAATATTATAAATGATTTCATATTTCCAAAAGCAACAAAAATAATATACTTTTTTTATATTATAATATATTGTTTTTGAACATAAAATATTAATTTGAACTGGAGAGCCGCAATTTTAGACCGAAAGGGCCACATGTGGCTCGTGAGGCAAAGGTTGCCGACCACTGACCTAGAAGATCCATAGGAGATCATTGATTTACAAAACAATAAAATATTTAAAAAATAGTACAATAATGTTGAACTTTCAATTTTTTTTCGAAATATTTTGACACAAAGACATATACTTATTTTCAAAACATCACACTAAGAATGATGTCTCTTTTCGGCAGTACTTACACTTGTGAACATATTTTTTCACAAACGAAAATTGTCAAATCGAAAACTAGAGCTCGGTTAACTGATATTCACTTGAAAAAATTACTCAGAATTGCATCGTCTCAGATCCAACAAAATAATTAGTTGGTGAAAAACAATGCCAGTTACCACACTAAAAATAAAATTAAAAATAAATGTTTATCTATATATGTTATTAAAATAATAATAATTTGTAATTTAAAAGGTAATCACAAAAATTATGATAATAAGACTGAATTTTCGTACAAAATACATGTTTTTACTATGAATGCGGATAAGAAAGATTATTAAAAACTAATACGTGGGCCCTCTGCATAAAAAGGTTGAAGACCCCTGCTGTAGACAAAGAAACATGGATAATGTCATGTCCTACAAGCATGAAAACCAAGGTACTTTGCAAACCCTACACACAAAATATAAAAACTAATATTGAAAAAAACTAACTGTAAAAATGCAAATGAAACAATTTCAAGTTCTACTCTAATAATTAGGGCTAGGAACTTCATGCCCTTAAATACCTTAAAATATGCATGCATTTATGCCCTAAAGAATCAATAAATATGCTATTAAAATATGCATTTAAAAAAAATGATATTCTTTTACAAAACCGTTAAGCCGATCATAGGGTTTTGGTTTAGGCATTTTAAAATTATTTTATTATGGGCTCACTTGAAAGAAAAAACACTTCAAAATACGAAGAACGCAAGACACCAACTGTCAACTATTACTATTCAAGGGATCGTCTGGCCTCTATCTATAACTAATCATAGTTTTTTTTGGTATCATTATCAGCTTATCGCCTATCGGGAATCACGAGTGTGGTATACCGATAAATAACAATACAGTTATAATGATAGGCAAGAAAAACGCAAACATTAATTTTTAAATATTTATATTAGGTCCAGGAAATCTATTTAAAATACAATTTTTTTTATAAAACGAAAAACTTTCTTTTCGTATAAATAATATTGTCAAATATGCACTTATAAATGAAATATGGTCAAATATGCAACTATAAATTTTAAATATAAACTTGTAATGCTATGAAACAAATTTCTATTTTACTTAGCTAAATGATTATTTAAAAACATGCAATCTCCTAGACGTCCCGAGCCCTACTCATAATATTGACATTTTTTATGATATAAATCATCAACAATTTTATAAAATAAAGAAGTACCTATCATTAGGATTTATCGTAAAGTCAATTGGCTGTACTAAATTAAACTTTTTAGAGGTACTTTTGGAACTTTTCTAGTTTACCAAATTTGGATTTAACCATTGTATTAAGGGTATTCTACCTAAAAGTCCGATGTCATAAAAGTTCCTCGAAAAAAAGTCCAAAATTTAATATATATTATCGTTTTCGGAGATTTTATTAAATAGGGTCACCTAATCTTTACCTACTATTATCTTTCAGTATTAGCCATTATAGGAGTCTAACTATATATTATTATATTTTGTTATGGATTATCGCTTAAAATGGAAAATCATATGAAAAATGAGTGAAATATTTAAATTAAAAACGAAAGGTGATAATATAAATAAAATAGTGTACGGGGGATTTTCGTACACGATACAACATAAACAAAGAAATAATGTAAGGTGGAAATGTAGCATGAAGATTAAATGCAAGTGTGATACAGTGTTATGTACATCAAAAGACATCCAAAATCCAAGATTAATACTACAACACAATCATGCTAGCGATAAGAATACATTGGAAGTAGAAAAGTTCAAATACAAAATAAAAATTTGTGCTAAATTATCATACGATAAACCAAGTCAGATTTTTACTGGGGCGGTTAGTGATCTTCAGCATGAAATTTTAATGAATATACCTCATGAAAGTGCTGTTAAACGTGTTATTCAAAAGCAACGTAGCTGTTTAAATCCTCTTAAACCTACTTCCTTAGAAGATTTGAAAATTGAAGGTAAATACTTCGCTTATTTTTAAACTATTTATAGTAATTGGAAATATTCGTTTTTTTTTTTTTGTAATTGTTAATTTTTTGGGTAAAAATGCCTTCAAAATGCTATACAATGATACAGTAATAGGTATTATGTATTATAATATACATAATATATCATGTGAAATATTAATGATATTATTTAATTTGTATTTTAGGCTATTGGTCATTGTATGAAGGAAGACAATTTTTACTATACGACAACATGGACTTAAACCACGAACGAGTTATAATTTTTGCTGTGGATGAAGGACCTAAAATATTAACAGAGGCAAGTACTTGGTATTGTGACGGAAATTTCAACATCAGTCCCCAGTATTTTCAGCAATTGTACGTTATACGAGTCCCAAAAAATGATTTTTTTAGTACGGCTGTATAGTTTGTTAGAACGTAAGACAACTTCAATTTATGAAACCATGTATGTTTAGAACAATTATTGAAAAATGTGAAGACCAAAATTTGTTTACTGACCCAGGTTTTTACATGTTGATTTTGAAAAAGCAGTAATTACAGCGGCTAGTAATAATTTTGGTTCAGAATAAAAAATAAGAGGGTGCTTTTACCATCTTTGCCAGAGTACATTTCGTAAAATCCAGGATTTAGGTTTACAAACACCTTATATGAATGATGACAAATTTAGTCATTTTTGTTCAATGGTTGATAGTCTGGCATTCCTTCTCCTTGAACGGGTGCACGAGGGAATGGATTTCTTAAGACAAACAAGCATTTCTGAAGCAAATGAATTGTTGAGTTATTTTGATACCACATATGTAAATGGTTCATATAAGAGAGTTGGTGCTGGTATGAATATAAAATTAAGAAAAATTAGTCCCTTAGGTATTTCTACCAAAAACGTGGAATGTCTTTGAAGCCACATTAAATAGTGAACATAGAACCAATAATATATGTGAATCATGGAACAATCGCTTCACACACTTGGTAGGTCATAGTCATCCAACAATATGGGTGCTAATTAAAAAATCAAACTAGAGATTGGAGCCGATAGGGCAAAAATAGCATTAAGCCGTACAGGACAAACGATAAAAAAAATAAAAACTAATCAAAAAACATCAGGCTTAAAACATCATGCGAGCGTATTAATAACTCTGAATTAAGTGTTTTTAACTGAAGTGGGAAATAACATTAGGATACGGCCAAGGTTTTAGGCTAAGGATATACATTTTATATTGTACCTACATGTTTTTTATTTAAATTGAAAAATGTATGAATGTATAAGTATAATACTGTGTAAAATATTATGTAACATATTATAATATTAACTTACATAGATATAAGATAAAATATTTTACTGTACCTACATAATTTTTATTTAAATTTAAATTTTCTTTTGTTGGAAAATATATATAATATTATGTAAAATATAATTTAACAATAATAATATTAACTTATTATAAATAAATAAACCAGATTTTTTTCGCGGGACTTTTATGACATCGGACTTTTGTATTAAGAGGATGTCAGCATACTCTTATTTTTTTGTCTCTGGCCCACGTGAAAAATGGACAAAATCCATTTATGCAGAATTATTTTTTCTATGATTTTACTCCAAGATTACTTAAAAACAGAAAAAATGATTTTGTGTAAATAACAAGTCTATGTTGCACGTAGGCCAGAGAGAGAAAACAAATAATGCACTGACATCCTCTTAAGAGGAAATTACATAAAATACATAAACCATATTGTCAAAAAATAAATGCTCAGTTAAATCTGGATTTTCCAGTAGAATTATTCAATCTATATTTGGCTTGATTTTAGTCAATTTACACATGGTCAGGCTCAGATTGGTCCATCAGAAAATCAGGAAACTTCCAATAGGCCACTTTCTATAAAATATTTTTTGATAACCTACAATTTTTGTTCAGTCATATTTTAAGAATAACTACTTTATTATGTACCTTCTTTCAAATCAACCAAATGTCACACTTTTATAAATGATTGATCCAATTAAAATAAAAACTATAAAAATATAATATTATAGATACTATTGCGTAAATTGTTGATGGCATAAAGAGACAATTTGTAAAAAAAAATCAAATCTGTAGTGAGTTAGCATGTTTGTTTCGTTCTTACTTATTTTGATAGATTTATTGACTTAAATTGACACTAAAAATTGTCTTCTAATGCCCATGCAAAAATGAATAAAGATACTACTACTATGGGTAGTTTACAATCTGCATTATTAAACTTTTCTTTAAGTAGGAATTCAATTTCAAAATCATCAAATGATTCTCGTTAAAAAAAAAACAATAAGATGTTGTTAATATTGATAACACAGACTTCTACAAAAATTCTTAAGAAGACAAAGTGTGCTGTTTGCTGCTTGATATTTATTTTTTCTTAAGTAAAAGGTACAAAAGTTACATAACTTTTCTTAAATTTTATCTTAATTTCTATTAATATGATGGACATAATATGATAATATTAAATGAGGTATTAAGCAATAAACGTTTTAAGGATGTAGGGTTTTTTAGCTGTAACGTGATGCTTACTAACAATTAACATTGGCATATAATTATTTTCTTAAGCTTCCTATATCTCAGGTACCTATTCTATAAACTTATATTAGTTATATTAAAATTGCTTGAGGTATTTATATTGCACTTGCTTAAATATTATTTTAAAACTGGGACGCTTGTCATTTTTCATACTAAAAATTACCTACTATAACTTTCAACCGAAATTCATTGAATGAATAAGTTGGAAGCATTTTATGTTTATGGCTCCCAACAAAAACATATCCAATAATAAAGAATATGTTAAACAACTGAAAAGTAAAAGTAAATTACTTCACAGTGAGGTTGATTATTTCAGTGTCAAATGCTTTAAGAGTAAACTAATAAAACTAAAATAAATACCTACCCATCAAATGTATTAATTAATTTTAATTTGGTCTGCCTAATATAATTATGCGATTTAAAAACAAAATTGCATAATATTATAAACTTAACACAACAAATAAACGGAGTTTCGAATTGACAGTCATATTTTAAATAAATGGCAGAGTTAAAAAAAAAATAAGTACGTATTGTCATTACTGAAACATGTACCGTCAACAACAAACAACAAGTTGGAATGTTACCTGGACGATGTTGGAATAACGGATTCTCTTTTTAGCGCGGAAAGTCAAACGTTTTCCTGGAACATTTTCAAACGGTGGCGGCAGCGCGGGTGAGCGGGCTTGCGCGTTCGACAGACGATTGACTTTAAAAAAAAAGCGTCGAGCGACGACCGAAACGTCGAAAGGGCGCTGCTGTGAGTGGTGTTGAGGAGGACAAGGAGGAAGACGACGGCGACGACGACGACGAGAACGACGGTCGCCGACGGCGTAACAGAGCACACTGGCGCGCGTTGGACGTCACACTGCGGACGGCGGCGGCGGTCCTACGGTATTTATCGAGACGGATAAAACGAATAATATTAAAAAAGATAGAAATGAATAATAATAATCTAGTTGCTCGATGGCGATACGTATTTCAAGGGCCGTCGGACGACGAATAAAAATAATACTAAACGTACTAGAAAATAAAAGTCGACAGCGGACGAATGACGATTATCGTGTGTAACAAATACTGGTTCGTCGTCGTCGCTGTTGTCAGTTTATTTTTTCTTTCGATTATTTCCCCCTTCGCCGCTTTACTGCACTCACACCCGTTCACGAACGCACACGTACACGGCTACACTCTCACGCACGCACACAACGACGGCTGATAATCTCGGCGGCTGTAGTGGCGGCAGCGGTATGAATAATAGTAATAATAATTGTCGCCGGGGCCAACGCATACACGCAAACGCACGCACGTACGTACGCACACGCACACATAAGGCCCGTGCACGCACGCACTGACGTATACGGCCCCACAGAAACCGTGAATAATAATAATACTGTACCTCCACCCGCGACCCACATGCCATACGGACTACGTCATCATAACGACGACGGCTATAACAGCATTGCGTGTTATAGTAATAACATTACAATATAGGAATAACGCACAACAGACGCAGAATCATATATTAAGGGGATCCAATACAACAGTAGTATTATTCAAAAAATATTAAGCCCAACAGGCAACAATTGTAAGCAAAAAAAAAATGTTATAATAAATGATAATAATTGTTTTCACTATTATGCTCCAAAACTTTCTTCCTTTAATGACATTGGTCATTGACTGTTCTATATTAATAATCCAAAAATATTCGTATTATAAAAATAAAAAAGTCTTATACGGATACAAATTAGCAATAATGTAATAAATATGCAATTGTCAAAATATTAACTAATACTAACTAACCTGCCTATACCTATGTCATAAATTGTATCATGTACTATTTATTCTACAGTGTCCTCTGACTGTAGCCTTATCAATTATCATGAATGAGGCCTAATGACTAAATAATATCCATATCCGGCACTAACAACAGTATTACTGCTACGTAATAAATAATAATAATAAGAATCTATGTACCTACTGGGTAATGGGTATACCGTATACTTAGGGTACATACTAATATTACTTGTAACTACTGTCTACTATTTACTTGATACTGTGTCAACCCTCAGGTAAGACATTGTTTTACTTCTGGAAGTCTAATCCGTAAGCTCGATTGTTAGATATGTCCAAACTAATAACTATTTCCATTTTTTTCCAATAGGATGGTATGTTTATGATTTACAACAATAACCTCGAGTACATCCAAAAGTTTTGATGAAATGAACTATGGTAAAAAAAAAAATATGGAATTATGAAAACAAATTTGAATAATTTAGAATAAATATAAGAACATTTGAGTTTTGTTGATGTTGATGCCTATCTTATTTATTGTTATGGTTATATCTTATGTTAATGTAAGTAATAGCATTGGAGTCAAAAAATCAAAAGATTTGTAACTGTACCTAGTTTCCAGTTGCTTAGGAAACAATTCGACCATTCCTACTTTTTTAAATATATTTTAGTAAAATATAAATCACTTATGTATCACTTATATTATAAATGTATAATAATAATATATAAGTAAAACACACTTTCGTCATTATGTCAATACCAACAATTTTTTTATCTTTTTAAGTAACTTTGTAATAGAGATTATCTGTGATCGGGAAAAAATACATCTAATGTAGGTACATAATATAAAAATATTTAAACTTAGCTAAATATTTTTGTTGAAGTAAAATGGCATCCAATTTAATCTTCATATTTAAATTATTATTTGAAAATTTTTTTCTCTATATTTTTGCAGTCCAGTTTGTGCAATATGTTCACCAATCTTCAGTGATCGAATACAATTTAACCAGTTTATAGAATTCAGTTTTTTTTCGATATTAATTAATGTAAATGGATTATTTATTTTAGAATATTTCATTAAAATGTATATTTTAATAACAGGAATTGTACTTACTATACTTATTTTTAATTAATTGTAAAATTAATATTATGCTTCGTAATCGTAATTCAAATAATGATCTAATGCATACAAAATTTAATTTAAAAAGCACATGAAAGTTATGTCAAGTTTGGTTGTAATATTTTTTCATCCATAAAAATTCACAGCGACTTGGATGCTGATTTTGCTGGATTGCCTGATTACAATTATCTTTTCATAAAAATACTCCACTGCAGTCTAGGAATATTATGTATTTACGTGTAACAAAAATAACTGAGACATATTATCTGAAAAGATTGCCTATGTATTTTATTGTTATCGATTTTTTAATTTAGATACTTATTATATAATGTTAATTGTTAATTGAATACTTTTTTTTTAAATTGTATATTTTCTATTTTGCTATTTCTGTTACACCTATTATCTAGTATCTAAGAATACTATAAACTCTATATAGACTTTGTAAATATACAAAAGTAATAGCAACCAAATACCAACTAAGAAAAAAAATTCTGATTACTCTCAAGCAAAACATATCCTTCGCCCATGTAATGCGGTTATTCATGAAATTATATTTCAAATTAAAGCATAAGTACCTAGTGAAAACATAAAAACAAAGATTTAAAAATAATTATTTTATTTTAAATTATAAAACCAACTTGATACGTATTAAAAGCTTCCTTTAAGAGTCTTAACAAATAATTTTGAAATGTTAAATTTTTTTCTTTTCAAAGTTCAATCAATGCGTTGAGTAAAAAACCATTGATATGAATGAGTGTTGGAATCGTATATCTCCAAGTCCTCCGAGATGAACAATGATAATTGATAGTAATATGACGTCAATAAAAATGAATATATATAATAAAGGTACAATATACTTGCGTATATCTAACTAAATGTGGTCTTAGAACAGTGCGTCGTGATAATAATATATAATATACTGCTTATCAAATCCATAAGAAATGTGTCACATAATATTATACGGCGTTCAATAAAATGACTTCGAACAATTTAATATAGATCAGGCGCGTGTATCGTTATATGGCCATTGGCTGCAGGTTGCAGCTGTACAATGTACACCTTTACATATTATTATGAATTATACCATTCGACTACGGGATCGTCGTTGCAGCTCTCAACGGACAAATATATTTATTTTTTAACTCGTTTGTTACACAGATTATTTTTATTGTATGTTATAGATCGTGTCGATCCTTTTTCTTCTCGGGTCGTTGCTCCATGTCGTAGTTTCTATATACATTATACACTATACCGTTTCATGAGTGGTGAGGGTAGAGGCGGTACATCAACCTAATACTACCTACTACATATTTATTACATAATATATATATATATATATATATATATATGTGTTATATATACTATACAGGTGTATGGTATGTAGGTTTATATTTTTTATTTATATGTAAATACTCAATATATACACGGCTACACGTGTATATCAACAAATAATGATATAATAAACGCGTGTAGGTATTAGGCATGAGCAACTACTTACAGCAAGACACTGACTGTGAAACGACCCGTGCGTTCTGTTTGTCCGGTTAGGTCGGTGGGTCGAACTCGGCGGCACAAGGCACGTGTCGTTTAGGGAAATTCTGAGGAATAGATACACTAAACATATGATTGTGAAGAAGAGTGGAATTTTTTTAATTTTTATTTAAATACTATCGTTATGATAGCATTCAGTGTACTATTCGCTTTAGTCCATAAGTATATACATTATAGTATTATACAAAATACTTGAAGTAATTTTATTTCAAATTAGAAAGTATATAATATTCTTAGCATACTATATTAAAATATATAATTCTAGCTAGTAACTTGACTGCAGGCACAACAATCTATGCATAAACAGCAAACACATATATTAATTGAATAATATAATTATACTGTTTTAGAACTACATCCAACTTCAGTTGTCTAAAACAATTTTTATGCAATGATATAAGATAATTTTTAAGTATACTTAGATGCAATTATAAGTAGATAAATATATTATAAGTACCTATTATTATACTATTGTGGACAAGTGTTAACTTCAAGTGCCTACTAAAAACTAACTATATGATACACTGTCTGTCATCTATAGGTAGGTACGGTAAGTTATTCTAAAATCTAAAATATAACTTAACAATTATAACATCGATTTACTTTTAAAATCTAAGAATGAGTGGCTCCTAGAGGGGGTTTCTCCCCATGTGAAATTGTTCATGTCAATTAAATATTTATATGTCATCAAAAATTTGTATTGTAAATATTTATAGATTACAGTACTTTTTACAATATAACATTTTTAAAAAAACTTAAAATTTGAATATCTACGTTGAAACTGGTAATGTACCTACGTATAACATTTCATAGAATTTCGATGATAAAATATTGATTTGGACAAGTTGTATTTTGCGTATGGCAGCGTGAATAGATACAAAAAAAAAACCGTGTGACCTGACCGTGTAACCTAACCTAACCTACCTCTGCTGTACATTATGTGTCTAGAGAGTCGATGTAATAGATGTGTTAAATTTGAATTCAATGATATAAAATCATTGTATACAAAAAATAGTTTAGACTGCCTGTCATTTGTCAGCCTATACAATTATTAAGTAGGTATATTTTATGATATTATTGTGATAAAACTAATTTATTTTACTATTACTTATTAGGTATATTAGTACCACAGTATTAACACTACTACCTACTAACCTGCAGCGTTAGTTAAATTTATTTTTGTCAAAAAAATTGTATTTTAAAATGTCATTGCTTGTATAAAATACTGCAATATACCTAGGTACTATGAAATGTTCAAGTACCCACGAATAATATTTTTAAATTACAACGAAATAACTAAAATCCAAATTTAAACTTAAAATAACTAGTAAAAAAACAATGTTTATATATTTTTTAGATAATGAAATCGAGTTAATATAAAATGTTGTAAAAATTTGAACTTCAACTCACATAAAAATTCAATTTGACTTTCTAGTAGATATTTTTATTTTTTTTGCTAAAGGTAAATTAACTTATGAGGAATCTCGTATAAAATGTTCAAATCTTAGATATAAAAATAAAAAGTTCTCCCGAATTCACCAACTAGATTCAATTTCCCATCGGAAAAGATACTGAGGTTGAAAATTGAAGCATTATTTTGGATACGTTTCATGTACACAGACAGACATAAAAAATAAAAATTAAAAAACACTCATCTTTG